TCTGGCCTTTTAGACTAGCGGAAAAACGACCTCAAATGTAAATCGTAGACAACATGACAACCCTCCCATTTCACGATCTTTGAAATAAATGCATGGAGACCTTTTATCTTTGGAATGTGTAGTTTAACTTTATTCAATGTACAATGATATTACCTAAAATATACTATAGAAGGGGTTTCTTACTCCGTCTATCCTACATTTGAATAAACAGGAAATGTATAAATTTTTAACATCCGGTGATTTTAATACATTCGAGATTGTTTTTCCGACCTCTGACGGAAAGCCTTGAGATGATTCAATTGGAGAAAGATCATCACTGCTCAATTGGCGCAATTGCCGAATTTAGGACAAACACCATTCGTCCTCTCCATGGGCAAGTGGTGGCATCTTCATATGAGTGAAATAATTCTGGAGAGGGACTTTTAACAATATACAAACAAATTAATTAAAACCACATCACTCTCCTAACAATGAAGATACAATAAAACATACATGTAACTATATGTAAAAAGTCATAACCAGTCACTAGCAATACTCATAAAACACATGGAGATAACTAATCCGAGATTCCTCTGACTCTAACCCCTGCTTTTATATAATTACTTGTGCAGGGGAGAGTCAGAGCGAAGTCCATATCAAAAAGTGGGAATTCAGCGACAGCAGCTGTTGTTGCAACTCCTTTCTAAGATCAAAAGTCCATAAATCAATACAAAATAGGAGCAGAGCAAACTCGGACCTCCAAAACATCAGAGGTGGGATCCGGTACCATAGAGGAATTACCATCCAATGCCGACCGGTTACACCCGACGTGTGCATGCTCCTTAATTGTCATGATCTAAAAATAACGAATAAATCCGTTGTCAATACAGTGTATAAATAATTAACTAACAATTAGTATGAAAAACGGCAGTCAGCATTTGACTTAATGATAAATTGTATTTGCTGACAATGTCATTATATCGACCACAGAACTTACAAAATGGTGACTTTAAACGAGACTGGTGATATTCTTGTTTCATCAATTTGTTTATCAATAATTTACCTCATTTTAGAAGTTGCTGATACGTAGAGCATGATCTTGCGTATCGAATGACGGTATAATGCTGCAAAAGTAAGGGAGGTTGACGAAAGGAAAGGATAAGTCATCACGTTTATCATTGAGCTTCTTGGTTGTCATCTTAACGCATTTTTTAGTCAAGGGTTTCCAAAAGATATTGGAGATCCGATAAATCTTACACTGTACTCATAAACAACCCTTGGCAGATTTCAAGTATATAATTTTTTTAGTAAACTCGCGCAAACGAATTTGATAATTCAAGTCCACGTATCTTCGCAAGGTTTTTACGTAATAAAATAATTTTATTTGCAATTAAAGTCTTTCGTGTTTTATGCACAAAATAAAAGTAATATTTTCAATGGATGAAAAGTTAGGACGTTTCCTATGCTTACTAAAAAACAAGGGATTAATTAATTTGAATTTTTTTCTTTTAATTATATATGTTTTCAAAATTATTGAAAGGACCATTAAATACATGATCTAAAATATACGTGTTCCGCATTTTAGATGCATCAATTTAAACCAATCAAATGTCACGGCTCATTGATAATAATTGTTGTAGAGTAGGTATCGGCTCGGAAACCCTTGGCTAGCGAAGATGCTTGGTTGTTAGATTAGTCAAGAATAAATCTTACACTGTACTTACAAATTTTCTTATTTTCCCCTTTTACAATTAAAGTATATAATTTTTTTCAGTAAAGTTAGCCTATTACCTAGGGTTTTGTATAATTCAAGTGTCCACGTATCTTTGATACGTCAAATATACGCCTTACGTAAATAAAATAATTTTATTTGCACTTTCTTTTCATTTTTTTTCGGCATACCTCATTCTTGTTTTGATCGTTTTTCTATGATGAAGATTAATGTTAAATAGAGGCTACGTTTCCTTCAACTAACACATTTTTTGAAATTCTCATTGAGGTATTAATCAATATCAGCCTTTATCATACCTCTTTTTTTTTAACTAGTCAGTAAATTTATTGTAGTTAGGATGAGCCGCCATTTTCCAATAAAGTTTATAATTAGTAACCTGAACAATGTGTGTTAGGTAAAAATGGATACTTTAATAAGATATAGCCACATTGATAAAAAGAAGAGCAAACATTTGTATAGAATTGTATAAAAAAAACAACCCAAATCACCGTGTATATCCCAACATGCGGGGTGTAGTAAAAAGTTTTATATGTGCGCGGAGTGTATGCTTCTAAAAAGCGTCAAAAAATATATATATCAATGACATCAATTTTTTGTCCATCCTTTCTGGGAAAATTCCAAAGGCCGCATGATATACATGTACACATTACATTGTTTAATCTATTTCAAAAACATCCTAGGTAATGGAAATATGAACATCGCTGACTTGCCCTTGATCATTATTAATGTGTTTATGTTTGCTTTATCGTCACTTTTATATTATTGTTAAATATAATATTATGTTTACAAAATAAACGTAAATGTTAAATCATTTTATTTATCTTGGTTCTTGCTTAAAAAAAACAAACATGATTATATATTTTATTTTTTTATGCTTGTCAGGTTTTCTGGAATGTAAGAAAAAATATTTTTGAAAAGAACTTCAACCCGCGATCCTGCCCCACTAAAATTCAATTTGCAAAGTTTTGTTAGCAATTTATTCAATGATGTACATTACATTATTTAATTTATTTCAAAAACTTATCCTAAATAATGGAAATATGAACATCGCTGTCTCGCCATTGATCAATAATAACCAATCTAAATCTTATCCTCTCTCTCTCTCTCTCTCAATCTTATCCCCTCTCTCTATTTCATTTGTTCTTTCATGCAGTTTCTTTCCATCATTTTCTTTTATAATCTTTTGTAATGTCTTAATTTATGGCCCTTTTTCCTTCTCCTTTGTTATCTCAAACAATCTCTCTCCAATTCATCCAATCTCTCTCTCCATCTCATCCAATTTCTCTCTCCATCAAGCTTTCTCGCATTTGTTTTGTAATATTGAGTGGAATCTGTACACATATAGAAAAGCTATGGGAATTAAACATGTTAAAACTTCAATTTTGTTATTCAGACACGTTACGTAATGTTCCTAAAACGATCACTGATGCTGAGCGCCTTTAAGCCTTTGCTGGGATTACATGATTATAAACCTGGAAGGAACAATTAATTTTTAGAATCCTTCAATTTCGGAAGGCATAGAACGGTGTACTTTTTTATTTTCTTAAAAATTTTAATTTTCATCATTGATCCTTGGGTTAAAAAAGGATTTATGTTTCCATTATAAGAGAAACTATTAGAATACAAGAGAGAGAGAGATAAAGAAAGAGAGAGAGAATTAGAGAAAAACATAGAACTATTATCCTGAGATAACCGAGGTGTAAACCAGAAAATATAACAACAGATAAAATTTCTTTTCCTATAATCTCTTGATGTAAGTTAATCTTTAAATCTTTTTATACTTGGACATTGATCGGTATCTAACGACGCTAAAGACTCCGTATAAGTGATAAAGACGCAAAGAAATAAAATATTGCTATGCGACGTGAGTAGGTTTCCCGTAATAAATTAACTCTTATCTTTATCTCTGCTAATCTATTCGAGTTTGTACTCCGTTTATAACATAACAACTACGCCATGTATAAAAAGAGGTCGATGGGCCTTAATGGTCACCTGGATTTTATAGTTTGTAAATAAAAAACAGTATTCAAGCTCAAAAGTCCATTTTAAACAATGCAAAGCAGAACAAACTCGGAAATATACATTGTAACATATGCTACAGAAATAGGTGGGATCATAATGATAAAGTTTTTTTTTTTATTTTTTATTTTATTTTTTTATTTATTTAAATTTTTTTTGCTGCCAAAAGGTCAGTATATCGACCAAAAAGCCTACGAAATGAGGACTTTTAACGAGAGTTTAGCTATATTCGTGCGCATCAACTGGATTGTCATTAGCCTGCCTCCTTTAAGAAATTGTCCTTACGTCGAGCAAGCTATTGTATTGTGTAGTGAGTCAATTGAGAGATATTTTAATACAATGTATGTTAACCCCATATGCAAGTTTAAGGGTATACTCATGCATACGTAAGGGAAGTTGGCGATTGAAACGTTGAGGTCATCCCGTTTATCATAGAGCTCGGTTGTTAGATAACCATCAATGTCTTTTTCAAGTTAAATACCCAAATATGAAACAGATGTGTCAAATTCTGTGGTATTTTTTATTTCAAGTTCACCGGGATATATCCTGTTGACATTTGAATGAAAATAACATCTAAATGCTTTTCTTCTTAAGTATATCGAATAAATCCAGCTTCATATATAAAACTAGGTCTGCTTCAAAAGAGGCGTTATAATTTTTTCATCAGATATATTTTTATCATTCATATATGTATAAAGTTTTATAATTGTGTAATTGTTACATTTTACGTGTTGTAATATTTATTGTAAACATAAATGCGTTTCATTTTTGGGGTCTATTTTTTATCTTTACCTTATTCAATCATATACCTAAAATTTTTATCCTAATATTTTTTTAAGGAGGAGGGGTTCGTAAATCTAGTTTTCTTTAAAATTAACCCACAATTAAAGATAAAAAAAAAAAAAAAAAACAAATAGCGTGCATGCCTTTTCAAAATCTGATTCTAGTCAAACAGAGACTGCAGCCCTGATGCTGCCCTCCCCCCCCCCCCGCCCCCGACCATAATTCACACCTCCGCCCATTCCACAAACGAATATTGCATTCAACGGACATGTTCTGATATTTGAAGATTAGTCTCAACTATTAGTAATAATAAGAGAGTTTAATTTACATCTATATATACCCTTAGACACAAGAAGCCGATTGAGAGCTATAAATACTGATATTTTGAGGCCGATACCATTATCGCGTACTTTAATGAGTGCTATTTATCGGTTATTTGAGCCGGTCTGGTATAAATTGTCGGCTCCCCCGATGTAGAGCTTTCTTACGTGTTCCCTGCTGTGAAATCGAAAGAGGAGACGCTATATCTAAGTAAGTCATTTTTATAAAAGATTTTAAAATGTTGTCGTTTTAGAATTTTTTTGCAACTCTTCTGAATTTAAGCCAAACATTTCTCATTAAAAAAAGAAAAGAAAAAAAAGTTAAAATTATCTCTATTGAACGTTAATTCAAAAGATACTTCAATTTCACGTTTTTTATAGGCCAACCATTTTCTAGATTATATTTTTTCTGCTTAAGTTTGAATTTTACATTTTCTTCTAAAATCTCAAATATTTAGATGTTAATTCGAAATTCTAGCTCTAAATATATTAATATTTTGTCTTATTTTTATCTTACATTGTACTCAATTATACTAGAACGTGGTAATATATTTATATAATGAATTATTGTAACAAAAAATTAAATTTTGTAAACAGCATCACACACACATTTGTAGTATTTATTACATTAAATTTTTGATTTTATAAAAATAATGTACATTCTAAAGTTTAATGCCTGAATCCACAAACTTTCATCATGTAAGGCTCTTATATATGCCATATCTTGCTCAATGTGGACAAAAAAATAAAATGGTGACTGTATTTCTTTTACAATAGGCATTAAGTGAGATTTGTTTTCTCTGAAAAAAATATTTTAGATTCAGATCAAAGATTCCGAAGAACAATTTGGCCCCACTGTTTTGCACTACCTTAAACCTAAAAGTAAAAAGAACGAGGGAGTATAAGGTACAGTAATGAGAGTTCCCCGATCTGAGACAACATTTTTAAAGCTAATTCATGAAAAAAATGTTGTCAGTAATGTTCTCTTAAACAACACGTATTAATAGATAATTTGCTTTAAAAGATACAGTTAATCATATTTAATAAAAATATGTGGCATCGCAGCTGTTAAAGAAAATTCTTGAAGATTAATGAATCCAGTCTCTTTTCTGGTATAGCGTTTAAATTGCTGGAATGCGAAGACGAAACAATCAAACTTTTGATAGAACTTTGCAAATATGCACACTATCTTCTCTATATACTGATCCTATTTCATATTTTAATTATTCAACATTTTCTCTCTTTTTAACTTGTTGTTTGTGCAAATATGCCCAGAGTGCATTTCACCTCGGGTTCATTGTCATAAAGTTCAGAAAATTTTCATTCCATCGGGGATAAAAGAAAGAAATGTGTATAAATTGCAATCAATTACCCAAACACATTAATTGTAATCTTATCATACTATCAGTATCAGGCCTGTTAACAACAAATATCTTGATTTATTGCTTTTGGTTTTTTTTTCTTTACATCGATTCGATGCCATACGACGCTCTTAAAATTTTCAGGAAGATGAAGATCGAAAAAATGGCAAAACGAACATTCAAATAAGATTTATAATTTATCACTAAAAACAATTTATTTTTCAAAAATTTAATCGATGTTACTGTACAGTTTCATTTCTTTTTTTTCTTTTGATTTTTTTTTTTTGGGGGGGGGGGGGCTACTTTTTTGCAGCTTTTTGAAAATGAAACAAGACAAAGAATTAAGTTACAAATAAGAACTTTGCAATCAAACTTTAAAATCTTTATAAAGAACGTACTTTCTACATGTATTGAACCACTTGTTATCCGACAGAACTAAGCGTAAGTTTTTTCAAATTCATTTCAAAATATATTCGTGAAAATTTATCCTTTTACATTTAAAAATAATATATAATATAGATATGCCTCGAAACTTTCAACTTAGTCAAGAAAATGTACAATATGAAATATGGAAATAGGGAACCCTATTCAAGCTTATAGCCCACTCAAACAATACAAATCGCGAGCAAAACAAAATAGGACCTTCATAAACATCAAATGTGGGATCATAAGCCCTAGGGGGAGGAAGCATCCCCTGTCGATCGATCACACACACCGTGTTCTCCTTGTCATGTTTTAAAAAAAAAACGAGAAATAATAAGTCGGGAAAATCAACTTTTGACTAAAGATAAATAATAGCCATATAAATTATGACTTCAAATTATGAGACTGCTGATAACATTTTTTGGTCACCTTTGATTGACTAAATGATAAATTTTATTTGCTGTAAATGTTGTATCGGCCACAGGATTTGCAAAATGATGACTTTTAAATTGCTGAGCTAAATTGATACTTGTATATTTCAACGTCTATGTAAATTTCAGACGCTAACTTGTTAGTAAACACTTTGACTAAACCCAATTTGCAAAATTGACATACATAAAAAAGTTACAGTATATACGTTTATCAAGATGTTTTGTTTGTTTCCATGAACGTCATTTCCAGTAAAATATCAAATTATGAAACAATGTGTCTCTTGACACACCAGATTTAAAGTTAATATTTTGTATAATATCGGTATATTGTAATAGCAATTCACACGAAAATATATTAAAAATCTTATTTCATCTAAAAGTTATTGAAAACGTTGGGTTTGAGAACACACAATGAAAAATATTAAAATTATCCTCGCTTGTGTGGCGCAGTGGTCAAAGGGTCGGAAACGTTGTAACACACTTGGAAGTTTATGCTCGCTCGTGTGGCGCGGTGGTTAGAGCATCTGCCACAGAGAGAGAGAGAGAGAGAGAGAGAGAGAGAGAGAGTCGCGGTCGCCAGAGCGAGGCAATGGTTAAAGTGTCTGTCCTAGATTTGTAATTGCCTGTGTGACGCAGTGGTTAAAGCGTCTGTTCCAGATTTTTAATTGTCTGCGTGACGCGGTCGCAGATTTTTACTTGTCGCTAGATTTGTAATGCTGTGTAGTAAAAGTGTAACACTCCTTTATATTGCTGGTGCACGCGTGGCGCAGTGGTTAAAGCTTCTGTTCACGAGTTGCGGAGAAAGTAGTGGTTAAAGCTGTCCTAGATTTGATCCGTGACGCAATGGTTAAAGCGTCGCAGATTAAGATCAACTGTGCAACAAAGAGGCCAGTACTTTGTATAAGACACATATAAATCGAGGTCTCGTGTCGCAGTAGGCGCTGGCCCTAAAATATCATCCACTGCTCAACTGACTTCGAGTGCCTGACATAGGTATACATTTGCAGCACTAAACTGGCAAGTGGTGGCTTCTTCATATTAGTAAACAATTCACGAGAGGTACGTCAAACAGCAAACAAACAAACAAACAAGAAATGTATAATCATAAAAGGCACCCACGCTTTAACTACATCTGATGAATTGAGTTCATTCGAAGATCAATGTACTTAAATATAACGATAATTTTCCTTTAATTAAACATGATGCCTTATAATTACAGACACTAAATTACTTTCCCTTCAATATTTTGAAATCATCTGATAATCTGATAGTGATACTTTAATGAAATTCTGGCCACGTGTCTTAAGGAAAAATAGAGAATAGGAATTGCTTCTTGTTTGTTTTCACATTTTTAGAAAGGGTTTACACAGCACATAGAATTTCATTTCATACCATACCATGCAGCTATCAACAGTGCGTAAACAATATATTAGAATAAATCAAGTACATAATTGTGCAACATTTATTTAAACAGTATCATAAAGAAAATATATACAGTGGACCTTCAGATATCCGGACGCCAGATATCCGGATGCTTCAGTATCCGGACGATTTTTCATCGGAACGAAATTTTAAAATGTTATTCTGTCTTGTTTAACTGGTGATTCAGATATCCGGATGCTTCACATATCCGGACAAATGACTGGGAACCAAAGCGTCCGGATAAATGAGGGTCCACTGTATTCTTCTAAATTATATTTGATGTACAAATTTAGAAATATGTACGTTTTTAACAGATAAGTTAAAAAAAAAAAACAAATATCGACAGTCTTCTTTAATGTCATCATTTCGTAAGTGACATGTATATTGTCGGTAAATGACTTTGTAATTAAATACATTCTATCTAGTCAAATGCTGAAATAAGTTTCCACACCTATTGTTGGGCCATTATTTACACACTGCATAGGTGCAAGCTGTTCCGCTATTTCCCGAACATAACGAGAACCACACATCGAATGTGATTGGTTGACAGGGGATGCTTACTCCTCCATGGCACCTGATCCTTCCTCCGATGTTCCTTTCTGCTCCTGATTTGTACTGTTCGCATGGGTATTTGATCTTGAATGCTGTTCAACATCTCCATGGATACATTTCATATAAGTGTTTATAATTATAAACGTCTTGTGCGCAGGCATGAAGCAACAGAGGGGAGGGGGGGGGGGGTTTCTACCCCCTTTTTCCAAACAGAACTTTTACCATTTAAAATGTTCATTGAAAGGCCAGTTGCCGTCCCAGTTTAAGAGTAAGAGTCACATAAAAGTAATGCAGTCTACTAAGAAGAAAATTTGGTACTGAAAGAAGTTGAACCTACGCCTATAAGAAATATAATTTTCGAGTTTCCCTTTTTGTTTCTTGTCAAGTTTTTTCAGGTAGGTTGGTTCATTTTTTTTCTCTGGTTCCCCACCCCCATTTTCAAAAACAATGCTACGTCACTTGTGCGTTTACATTAATAATTACATACTTTACGTTAGTATGTAGATTTCATGTATGTATCAAATCAATTTCTTAAAATTAATTCGTGACCAAAAACAAAACTTGGTGTTTCTAATTCTTATTTAATTGAGAATTTGTTTTTAAAATTCTACATTTTTCACGATGAAATATATGGAGATAAAGAGCAGTATTCGAGATCAAAAGTCTATAAAACAATACAAAATAGGAGCAGGGCAAACACGGATCTCCAAAACTATATTTTGTTTTAAACCCCCCTCCCCTCTTTTTCTTTTTTTTTTTAGAGAAAACATATCATGTTTAACAAGGACATCTATAGTAAATGGAGGATTTTATTGATTCTTTTGAAATATGTACTGACTTTACTCTTTTTGTATTGCTATATACGGTGATACAATAAATTAGCACATTAAGCGCATTATTATATTAAGCGTATTAGCTGCCGTATAAAATCAACTTTACTGAACCCCATTAATGAAATGTTACACGCAAATAAGAAGGATTAAGTTGATGTATATCCATGTTTGTATGCGGGAATAAATTGGTTTGCAAAACACTTAAATACTTTGTCTTATTTTTCATTAATTGGATTTATTTGCATTAATTTGCTTTCCACGCAATGCCCATATAAAAATGTACTTTATCCTTATTAACAAAATAAGAGGAATATGACATTTTTATAATTAATTGATTCTATAAGTTGACGAAGCTTTTGGCTTCTAAGATGTATATCGGCTGCAATTGAGAATCCAATTAGTATTTTTATATACTGCGTTTAGCTAGACACACGAGTATATTCGAAAATAGGAGAAAAAAAACTTTGCCTTTAAATTGTAAATAGAATATAGTTTTGTTTAGAGTGTTGACTTTTTGTATAGAGAAGAAATTACTACTGGAGGTAAAAGGAATTTTGACGAGCGCTCGCGAACGTTCGCTCTGCTGAACAGGCCTCGAGAGAAGGTCTTTGCCACTGAATAAAGTACGAGTAAATTTCAAATTATTTTACTTTAATTTTTTAATTCACATTCAAAAAGACATTGCAAATTAATTGTCCTAAATATATTATTAAAGCATTTACGTCATCTCAAAGTCCAACTGAATGGTATTTTTGGTTTGTAAACTCATACCGAACAGAAACAATTCTTGCGGCGCATTTATTAAATATACTTGACATGCATCAACAATGATTTGACAGAAATAAATTTCTCCGTTCGTCGGTCTCAATTGGTTCTTCAAGTTATATGATCAACTGGGGTAAAAATAGATTTTTTTAATTTGAAATTTATGTTTTCATTACCATTTTTTAGTATAATGGGTATTTCGCCGGGAATCTGACAAACTTTAATTAAACGGTACATTTTTTAGTAATTACGTAAAACGCAAAAATGACACATTGCCAGACCAAACATCCTGTCGGGGATATCTACTTCCTAACTGCTTCAAAGAAAATCGCTTTTAATTAACTAACTCACGCAATATCTATTCTGTTAATTAGAGGTATTTGATTTCAAACTCCCAAAAAACACAGGATGTTGTACCTGTTCAAATTTAATGGCTCTCACCGTAAAATATATGGAGTTAACGAACAGAATTCAAGCTCAAAAGTCCATTAAATACATAATTGGAGCAAACACAGACCTCCAAAACCTCAGAGGTAGGATCAGGTGCCACGGAGGAGTGAGCATCCCCTGCTGACCGGTCACACCCGTCATGTGCTCCTTGTCATGATCGAGAAATAACGGAAAATCTGTCGACAACTCAGTGTGTAAATAAAGGCCACAAATAGCATTAACCATTAAGTCTCTGAAGAAACGGTAGCCTTATAATTTTGTCTCGATTTCAAACAAAAGGGAAAAACTGTAGGGTGAGTGGCACATTCACAGAAAGAGGATAAATCGGACATTTTCTTTTATCTTCAACCCATGTGGAATATATTGAAATCGACTTCTGAAATCATCAATTTCTTTTTTACATTCTACATGAAGATTTTTTCCGCCCTTTCGCTGGCCCTCGTTAATGGGGATGAACGTTCAAATTGAGGAGAATCATTTAAATCAATAAAAACTAAATAATATCTTTTTTGAAAATAGACGGGGAGAATATAAAAAGGGGCAAAATAAATATTTAAATATGGAGTACATATATAAAAGTGTTTCTCCCTTTATCCCAAAATCTTAATAAAAGAGGCTGGATGGTCATGGCCATTTTCAGACTATTTTGACCTCCTTTAGAAGAAGAGCTCCATATAAAGATATTTACAAAAATTTTTAAATTCTAAAACTAACATATAGGAAATTTTTCTTTTCCAAATGATAGTTAACAGCCTAAGATATGATATCTAAAAAATAAGTTAAATCTGGTGGCTAATTTGTTGTTAATTTGTTGACACCCAGCCTCCTTAAAACTATTCACAACGCATTTACATCAATGTTGAATCTACTTTTTTTATTCATTTTTTTTTTATATTATGACATCCTTTATTTGACAGATAAGATGTGGGCGCTGACTCTGTTGTACACACTTGTCCTGGGCACCTTGCTGCATTCCGCCATGTGTGGCGCCAAAACCAACTTTGGAGACCACCCCTCCGCTCAAGGGTTCCGCCATAAACCGCTATCTACGTCACAGTATCTAGGACTACAGAACTTATTTAGTACGTACAACAAACGGATACCCTTCAACATGGACAGTCGCGCTTTCGACATAGGCCTAGACATGGACCGTTACAACAAATTCATGGATTGGAGAACTCTGTTCGGAAAAAGAAGTTTTGCTGGTGCGGATAAAAATGAATTCCAGGACACGGAAAATCCATTTAAGGCCGATTATCAAAATTGGCGTGATGGTTTCGCGTCTGAGAAGAAGAATACCAGGAAATAATCACGTGACCCGTTCTGTCTTATTCACTCGTCATCTGTCAGCTCCTGATGGCTTTATTGAAATCTTTTCCTCTTTTCAATTTTGTTTTACATCAAAAACATCAGCTCTTCTAATGGTCTATTTAAGTTCCTTTTAATAAAATCACAATGAACGAGTTCCTTCCAATAAATCGTGACTTTAGAAACGTTTTTCGAATGATATGTTGATGGACCTTCACATTTTCTGTATAACGTTTATGCGTAATTATGTCATTAAAATCTTGTCTTTAGAAATTTATTAGGAATACAATGTTAAAATACCATAATAGACCTTTATAGTTTTGGAAGTCGATTTTTATCTGTGAACAGGTCATTAAAAATTTATTTTCTTTTTAATACCGATACGAGCGCTATGTTTGTGAATCATTGATGCTTGAAATGGACGATTTCCTCAGAGGCTCGTGGGCTACAACACTTGCCTTAACCGCACACCGTATCATCCGTCTATACATTGAGGCCTCACATTTAAGTCCAAAACCATGCTTGCATGTAATTTCATAATATTGTTTGGAAAAATGAAATGTTTTTATTAAAAACTTTATAAATTTGTTCTTGTTGTAACCTTACCCAACTTTCTTTCTAATGTGCATTTTTATATGTATATGCTTTAAATTCCAACATTAAAGACAAAAAATCTCTGAAAAATCGACTCGAATCCTAATCTATGTAATCATTGCTTGAAAACATTTAAATCTGAACTGTATGATGACTGTTTAATTGAAATGTTTGGTTATTTTATGTGCTTGAATAAAATTAAAGAATTTAAAGTTGGGTTTGCAATAAGTAATATGTATTCAGTTTTATGAGCTCCTCTGAGGACGACCTGATCATCTTGACCCATGTAGACACTAGACATATTCCTAGGACTACATGTAGGGGAAAACTGAATACAACTGTGGAGTTAATCAATTCCGCCAAAGACTCCAGCTCTTCCTGGAAATGTATAATCAAACATATTTTTACTCGATTTCCTTGCAGAGTTGTCGTTCGTGTTCCTCTCTCGGACACCTCTGCAATGGGCTCATGTGAAGATTTGACATAAAGAAAAACACAGGAATATTCCAAGGATTATTTCAAATCAAATTTAATGTAGTTTTAGATCTATCTAAAATATATCTACCTGAAAATCGATTTCTTAAATACAATTTTTTCTTATAGAATTTTTTTTTCGATGAGTCGATAAGAAAATCATCTAAAAACAAAGTGCAACGGGACCCCCAACCTTAATCTCCATCCGGATTCTATCACCTTTTTTTCCCTTTCATAACCTAAGAAAGGTTGGATATTCGGAGTTGCATTCAAGTTCGTTACAGCTATATCTTGTCTCTTTAATGTACAGTTTGATTATGTGAATGGCGATCATCTAGTATGGTACAGTGGTTATATTTAGAGAGTCTGCTCTAGAGCCGCGAAGTAATTAGGAGTTGATCCTTACGTCGCGGGTTTGAATCCCACTGTAAGACGTGGTGACCGTTCGTTCGGATGAGACCGTATCAACCATAAACCGATTGCAGCGGGTGCTGACACGAAAAAAAAACACTCATTGCAATTGCTCAATGGTCCTCAGTGCCGAGTATTGGACAAAATTTGCAGCTCTGCACCGGCAAGTGGTGGCGTCTCAATATGAGAGACATGAATACATGTCCACCCAAACTTTTGAAAGAAATAAATCAAAGTTAACATGTCCATCCGACATTATACACAATGTACTTAAGTTTAATTAAAAACAATTCTAAATGAATTTTCTTTGAATAATTTATTGTTCTTAGCAGAAAAATTTACATCATGTATCTTCAAAACAAAAATAAACGATGGCAAGCAGAACTGACATAAATAAAGTAAGATACAAAGTACTGCATGGATGTGTTCAAATATTTCAACCAATAGCAATGGTTGTTACACTCATTATGTTAAAGTCAGCCAATAGAAAAGCCCAAAATACTGCATGGGTGTGTTCAAATACGTCAAGTCCGAGACCCTTCACTTCAGAATAATAGCAGAGACAATCAAACGTGTCCGTACAAGCGTGATTATGACCGCAAAAATCAGTGGCACAAACAAATGGATAGCACTTTGAAAATAAATTGAAAATCTTTGCAAGCTTTAAATGTTTTAAGTGAATAAAATCAATATCACTATATTTACTTCCCAATAGTTCCCATCAATTGACTTTGAGTAAAATTAAGAATCCATTGCAAGTTTTTGTACTTTTCTTGCAGAATTATTAAAATAAATAAGCCCCAGAATCTAACATACATCTGTAAACACGATTTTGCAATGTGTGTTTGTGTTTTTGTGTACCTACAGATGAAGACATTCCCATGTTAACATACAGAGTTTCTGTAACAAAGCATCAAAGCAGACCAAAGTTTGCAGCGCCTCATCCATCCTGAGAATTATAAATTATTGCACTAACTATCAAGTCAGTTTACAGTGACAATACCATACATCAAAATCAAATGTCGCAACAAGACTGTTACAAAGCATTATAATTCGTCCACACCAATAAAATTTATTGTTCGTCGGACACAACGCGCTCGTATTTCAACAAAACTATAGAAATAATATTAATTTAAAATTTCCGCACTATTGGAATTCTGTGCTGTTTTCTGTTCCCTTTCCGCTCTATTTTTCGCACTTTTAATCTACTTACTCTGCAAATCAGAAAAATATAATTATCCGCTAAAAATTTTTGCACACACCGCCTTAAAATTTTGCCTTTAAAAAAGTTATAATATTATTATTTAGCCGCCAGCCCGCTCGTACTTTTCTCATCAAATGTCCGACAAACAAGAAATTAAATTGGTGTGGCCTTAGATGTACACAATACATTAATAAGAGGCATGGGATAGGGTTACCCACTCAAAAATACATTGGTACAAATATCCTCATATCATCATCATAAATAAACTAAATGATGCAAATCTTATATTCCATTAGATATATCAATTAAATAGAATGCATTTACAAGCACTAAAACTACATGGACTTGTAACATACTAATGCTTGATTTTATGTTACCACTATACATACAAATAGATTAGTGATCCAGTAAATTTACACATAGTATGCTACAGTCCCTGTGTATTATACATACAATATTACACCACAAAACGCATTAAGGAATGAATTCAATACAGTACAGATAGCTAGAAAATACATGACTTTTACTAGAACTTTACATGTACACAGTATACACTAGGCCAAGCTTAAAATATCCTTTGTTTGCAGTTGCCGACTAATAATTTTCAGACTGGGTAGGTAGGTAGGCATTCTTTTTTTTAAATAAAATTCAAATTTTTGTTAAATTATACAGCTTTTTCCATGTTTTTATAGGCCTATTAAACATGAGTAAGATCCACTCTTGTTATAAACCACTGATAGATAAAAACAAACGTCAGAAATTGAAAAAATGAAGCAGTTTCAATATTCTGAAAAATTGAAAAAAAAAAAATTACAAAATGGCTAAAAAACAGTTTCGGTCAGGTGCATTTTCAGTGGGTCGGTAGGCAACTGCAAACAAACTAATTTTTATTCTAGGCCCTACCTTATTCTTCAAGAAACAATATCTTAATTCAAGTATGTTTTATGGGTCTGTTCTAACTTAATGTGTTTCTTAAAGAAATGAAAAACAAAGCTCCTGACCACAAAACATCATCAGCAGGGGATGCTCACTCTTACATGGCACCTGATCCCAGCTCTGATGTTTAAAGGTCTGTTCTGTCTTAATCATGTGTTTCTTATAGAAATGACAACAAAGCTCCTGAACACAAATCATCCATTCCACCCTTCTCCAGAAAAGCTTTTTTATTCCACACAAACTACCTACAGTAAAAGCTATACCTAAATACACACACAAAATGAAAGACTTCACCTTTGCAAATTAAACTGGAAGAAATATAACAATGAAAACATCCCACCTACAAAATGAATGTTTTAATACAACATAAACACCACTCTTCAAATTTCCCTGGCTGATTTGATCTCTTAACTCATTTCAATCCTCAATTCAAAATTAATTTTTCTATTGGAAAATAACATAAAACATTTCTTTACAGTCAACAGACTTTTCCAAGTTAGTGATATGTGACTCAAACACAACTTGAGATATTAGAGCAATTCAGTTCATCTATAGTTAGGCCAAAACAAAATATAGTCTTGTTTCCTGCTACCCGACCTACCTTATTTTTTTGCATCCGGCCCTAAAGTTTTTTTTCAAGTTTTGGGGAAAAAAATTGGAAATTTCAGGAATTTCATGTTCAAAAAGTAAAGAAAAAAAATATATATTCAAGTGGTATTTCATAAAACTGTATGTAAAGATGTGATAATATCTAATTTAAAATATAATGTTGACCTATTACATGTTTAATTTGGTTTTGTATTAGTTCATATTCAAAAAGTACCTCTGAAAAAAATAAAATAAAATAAAAAAATAATTTTCCTACCTACCTACCCTATTTTTTTCAGGCTGGTAGCAGGAAACAAGACTTATTTTTTTTGGCCTTATCTTATACACCAAGAAATCGAATGCAAAATTGACTCTTCAGTAAAATTAAGAGATGTTGATCCACTTCATTTGGAAGGGGGGGGGGGGAGATGCCATCATATCTTGAGTGTTAAGGTACATCTACCTTCCAACAAGAGAGATAACTCTCTTTGTAATATTTGACTACTCATTCCTTTATAAAACTGTCAAGTTAAAAGCCTATGCCTATATAATTTTGTTCCACACAGTATGCTGAAATTGTGAGCATTTAAATTTTAGACAAGATCATTAGCCATTAAGGGAGAGAGATGATGAACATTAGATGAACCCCACGTAGACACATGACCTAGTTTTAAACCAGCAGCCTGTAAATCTGATCATAAACACATCTACCTCATACTACCTTTCTTTCGAAACAAAGTATATCTGCAGGCAGTTCATTCCCCTTTATTAGTATCCAACCTTTTTTCTCTAGAGGATCTTTCCTTACTTTACATATTCTCCCTTTGTTAACACACCCATCCAGCTGTTGGAATATCTCACTATCTACTATACTGACACATCTCTAGATCAGAAAAGGAAAGCCAGAGGAAGAAATGGCCACAGGTACACACCACCTTAAACATTACCTCTACAATGTACACACCTGACACCTGGCTGGTCATCATCTCTGACATACTAACTAGGACATAGATACACACCACCTTAAACATTACCTCTACATGGGACACACCTGACACCTGGCTGGTCATCATCTCTGACCACTAATTAGGACACAGGAGATCTACCAACCCAACAGTTGTTCTTCATCTCCAACATATTATAGGTAATTTTGTCACACTGATTACCGAGATCTCAAACGTACAACTTGAGAAAATTCTTTAACCTAAAACCCAATTTTGACTTCGTCCCTTATCATGACATTTCAACACTTAATGACTTCAAACTCAGTCATTCATTTTTATGTAAAACTGTACAATGCTTCAACTGGCATTGTTCTCTGTAATGGAGTTAGACATCACTACTTTCTGACTTCTAGCCAAATTCTCAAGCCAATCATCACATTTAAAGGAATTTCAACATTAAACACTGTTATTATATCCATGGCAATTGTCAGATTCTTGTGATAAAAGGCAAAAACATTCATACAGCATCATAATACCAGTATATATCGGCACTACATGGTAGGTAACTGTAGTTCTTTTTCATTCACTGAATTAAAGTTGCAAAAATGGCATCCCCCTTCTTATGTTATCAATTGTACAATGTTTCATAAATTTTAAAACCTCTGAAATGCAAACTTCAACTATATGATTGTAAATTAACCTGTTACAATGTACAAAGATTATTGATTATTCAATTTTCAAACCTAGGTAGTTCTGTTTAACAGACCAGAATCTATTCAAAGAAGTAGAATACACATACATATTATAATACACATAACACTTTTCTTTTTCTGTAACACAAATAAATAATGCATTATTGTACAAAATTGAGTTAAAATTATAGATCAGCCGAGCTGAACTGTCAAAGAGTACTGAACACAGTTATGCGCATTTTGTAAGCTTTTCCGCTACGTAACATATGCTGTTTGTTTCCACATCTTTTTCTTTTCTACTTGAATATAAGAAACTAATAACTAAAAAAAAATGATGCCACCCATGATTTTAGATGAAACTTATTTTCCTTTCTTAATCAGCATACAGTTCCCTGCCATTCATTTTTTTAAATATTTTTTTTTCATTTTTATCTAAAGCATTTATGACATCTACAGTACATAATTCAATCTAACTATTTCTAAGTCAGAGAACAAATAATTCTGTGAAAACACTTTCAAATCAGCACAAAGTTTAGTACTAAGAATGAGTGGTAATGCTGAAGCTAATGTGAAAGTAACACAACACAATGCTTTGAACACTGAAAACAAGGCATATGATGTCCTGGTATTGACCTTGATCTTTGACCTCAGGTCAGTGTGCAACAACATCTAAGCATGAAGTTTGCCCATTCTCCCCCGTGTTTATAGAAATGTTTTTGTTCACAACAAAGGTAATTCTTTTTCTAAAGTTTATCACACAGTATCCTAAACATCTGTAAGAGAAGATAGATGAAATGATCAATCAAAGTTTACAGACATCATCTTTCACAAACCAAGAAGTACGTAGCATATTTGAGTATAGTATTACTCTGAAATCATTAATTTTCCTGAGGGTTTAATTTTCATTACTTTTAAGGCACACAGAGACTCACAAATTTATGATCAAGTTTTAAATATTCCTGTGTTGCAAAATTAAGTCATCACAAAATTTAATATATTTAAAACCGACAAATCGAGAATAAAATTTATTGTAAATAATAGTTGGTTTACAGCATTATACGTATGTAAGATTATAATCTAAAATTAACTTAAACATTTACATACACTGAGCCGTTAAACACTAACCTTAAGCCTGTGACTCTGTCTCCATTTTAGGTTTGATGGGGGTAGGTCTTACATTAAACACTAACCTTAAGCCTGTGACTCTGTCTCCATTTTAGGTTTGATGGGGCTTGGTCTTACTTTAAAAACTAACCTTAAGCCTGTGACTCGGTCTCCATTTTAGGTTTGATGGGGGTAGGTCTTACTTTAAACACTAACCTTAAGCCTGTGACTCTGTCTCCATTTTAGGTTTGATGGGGGTAGGTCTTACATTAAACACTAACCTTAAGCCTGTGACTCTGTCTCCATTTTAGGTTTGATGGGGGTTGGTCTTACTTTAAAAACTAACCTTAAGCCTGTGACTCGGTCTCCATTTTAGGTTTGATGGGGGTAGGTCTTACTTTAAACACTAACCTTAAGCCTGTGACTCGGTCTCCATTTTAGGTTTGATGGGGGTAGGTCTTACATTAAACACTAACCTTAAGCCTGTGACTCGGTCTCCATTTTAGGTTTGATGGGGGTAGGTCTTACTTTAAAAACTAACCTTAAGCCTGTGACTCTGTCTCCATTTTAGGTTTGATGGGGGTAGGTCTTACATTAAACACTAACCTTAAGCCTGTGACTCGGTCTCCATTTTAGGTTTGATGGGGGTAGGTCTTACATTAAACACTAACCTTAAGCCTGTGACTCGGTCTCCATTTTAGGTTTGATGGGGGTAGGTCTTACTTTAAACACTAACCTTAAGCCTGTGACTCTGTCTCCATTTTAGGTTTGATGGGGGTTGGTCTTACTTTAAACACTAACCTTAAGCCTGTGACTCTGTCTCCATTTTAGGTTTGATGGGGGTAGGTCTTACATTAAACACTAACCTTAAGCCTGTGACTCGGTCTCCATTTTAGGTTTGATGGGGGTTGGTCTTACTTTAAACACTAACCTTAAGCCTGTGACTCGGTCTCCATTTTAGGTTTGATGGGGGTAGGTCTTACTTTAAACACTAACCTTAAGCCTGTGACTCGGTCTCCATTTTAGGTTTGATGGGGGTAGGTCTTACTTTAAACACTAACCTTAAGCCTGTGACTCGGTCTCCATTTTAGGTTTGATGGGGGTAGGTCTTACATTAAACACTAACCTTAAGCCTGTGACTCTGTCTCCATTTTAGGTTTGATGGGGGTTGGTCTTACTTTAAAAACTAACCTTAAGCCTGTGACTCGGTCTCCATTTTAGGTTTGATGGGGGTAGGTCTTACTTTAAACACTAACCTTAAGCCTGTGACTCTGTCTCCATTTTAGGTTTGATGGGGGTAGGTCTTACATTAAACACTAACCTTAAGCCTGTGACTCTGTCTCCATTTTAGGTTTGATGGGGGTTGGTCTTACTTTAAAAACTAACCTTAAGCCTGTGACTCGGTCTCCATTTTAGGTTTGATGGGGGTAGGTCTTACTTTAAACACTAACCTTAAGCCTGTGACTCGGTCTCCATTTTAGGTTTGATGGGGGTAGGTCTTACATTAAACACTAACCTTAAGCCTGTGACTCTGTCTCCATTTTAGGTTTGATGGGGGTAGGTCTTACATTAAACACTAACCTTAAGCCTGTGACTCTGTCTCCATTTTAGGTTTGATGGGGGTTGGTCTTACTTTAAAAACTAACCTTAAGCCTGTGACTCGGTCTCCATTTTAGGTTTGATGGGGGTAGGTCTTACTTTAAACACTAACCTTAAGCCTGTGACTCGGTCTCCATTTTAGGTTTGATGGGGGTAGGTCTTACATTAAACACTAACCTTAAGCCTGTGACTCGGTCTCCATTTTAGGTTTGATGGGGGTAGGTCTTACATTAAACACTAACCTTAAGCCTGTGACTCGGTCTCCATTTTAGGTTTGATGGGGGTAGGTCTTACTTTAAACACTAACCTTAAGCCTGTGACTCTGTCTCCATTTTAGGTTTGATGGGGGTAGGTCTTACTTTAAACACTAACCTTAAGCCTGTGACTCGGTCTCCATTTTAGGTTTGATGGGGGTCGGTCCGTTCACGCCCCCACCTCCCCCGCGTATCCCTGTTGATCCTGGAGAAGCCGCTGGGGCGTGACCAGCACGAATAGGTTTAGCTGAAACATTACGAATAAAAATACAACTCCGATTTGAAACACAAGAAATACACCTCACTGACAGACTGGTTTTTAAAACTACAGATAATACCAGACGAGTGTCATTATAAATATTTTCTTTTTCAAGCATAATTCAGACATTTCATTTATTTAAATATATTCATATCGAAAAAAAAAAAATGAAATTGTCCCTCATTTGTTCTTCTATAGAGCTGGAAAGCAAGGATTATAATTTTCACATAGGATTATAATTTTCACATATTTCAAAAAGACAACTAATTAAGGTTTGACATGCATTTATTCGAGTTTTAACCTCCAGTGCTCTGACATGAACTCACCGATCTGAGCGTGCGCCGCGTGACCTCGCCTGGCCAGGTTCTTCTGTCTCACAGCTTCCTTAATCCTGTCCACCTCGTGTTGGTATCTGTAAATATCCAACAAACACTAGATGATTTATCACTTTACCATCATAAGGAATTATACTTTATCCCACCCTAGATAACTAACTACAATCCTCTTTCTGATAATTCAGTTCATTTCAATTTATATACATCTTTTATATAGCAAACAATATATTCATCTTATAGTCTCTTCGTTTCATCCCCCAAGAATCTTATATATCTGAGTTGCGTCAAGCGAAAAGGGACCTTCGTGACAAAATTTTCGAAAATCGTTTTTTCACCGATTCTGAAAGAGCTAGTTTTTCTGAATATTTTGATACGAAATTTTTTATTGTATACCTTCTAAATTCTAATTAAAACTCAAACTGAAAGCAATAAAATTTTTAAAAAAGATAACGCTATTAAACGTTGAATAACGTCGCATAACGTTATTGATATTTGGAACGTTATTGTTACGAAATAACCCTTTTGATTTCGTTAGAAATAATTTTTTCTACATGTATTTAAGGTTTTCAATGCCCCCCCCCCCCCCCCAATTTTAGCATCTATATGATCGTATACATTTTAAAATAGCTATAAGTCTGTTAGGAAAAAAACGACATTTTTTTTCTATATGTATATGTAGACCAATATTGAAATAATAAAGTAAGTTGAACATTTTCAAAGAATTATATTCAACGACATCATTTAATCTTTCTACAACATGAATATAAGCATGCTTTAATCTCTGAAAAATTGGTATTTGAAAGGATCCTTCACAAGGGAATAGACCGCTGACAATGTGTACAAAACCAAACAAGTTCCTACTCTGAAGTTATCTCGCAAGGCATTCGTAACAACTCGGAAATTTTCCAAGGGAGAAATAACGTTCGTGAACAGAAATGACCGAGTATTTACGATTGCTTGCAAAGAACTAAAATGAATACTTATGTTCATGTAGTAAGGTCGTATGGATAAATCCCGGTCAAAGTACGGCTTTTTTCCCTTTCGCCATATCAGCAAACTTACCTCCACAAAAACAAACGCTTACCCAGTACCTACATGTATATGTATTTATTTTTTGTTTTTCCCTGAACAATTGTTTTTTAGGGGGGGGGGGTGCAGCTTTCAGGCATTGTTATAATTTTTTTTACTTATCAATTATATCACACTTCTTTCAAAATCGATGTCCTTTTATTTTATTTCAATTGAGAATTATATTGAAATGTGGAAAATTCCCCAATTCAAATTAGATTAAACGTGATTGCCCCCCCCCCCCCTTCTAACGATGTTACTTGCCTATATGTCGGTGATTTAAGATGCTAAAATCAAATAAAATATACCGGTACACATTGTATCAATTATTATGACTTTACTATATATCAGTGAAAGAAATAATTTTTTTGTACATTGGGGAAACGGGGGGAGGGGTAAGCCTTTCTTCAAAAATGAGCCCAACACGTTGTACTTGCCATGGAACAAAGACACGTTGCATCGCTTGCAATTGTTTAAATTTTGTTTAAGATAAATATCGTATGTTGTACAATTTTGTAAAGAGAAAATCTTGTATTTTTTATTCTCATGTTAAAAATATTATGGAATTGAATTTGAACAGCACTAAAATATACCGATAAAAATATCTAAGTTATGTAGATATCTAGGCTTGATGCAAAACAATTAATCGGACAACAATAAAATTAGGCGTTAAATTCACACTTTCGGAATATACTAAAATCGTTAATATATAATTAACACATGTGTAAACTTTTCTTCTTAGTATGTTGATTCATACAATATTTTATTGACCAAGTCAATGGTACCAGATGACATTCTGACTGTACAATCTAAACATTTGATACACAGTTACATACATGTACATGTAAATAATCAGTTTAATTCATATTGAGCTGTATCAAAGAGAACAAGAAAATATACCCCGGGTATGTTTAAATGGTGTAAGATGCATGGGTCTCATCCCCTGAAAATCCAAATAATATAATCTACGTATACACGCTGCCATCGGAAAAAAATTCTTAAGATTTATTCTCAGCATTATTTTGTAATAGATAGGTCATTATGCATTTGTATAATCGGCAATCCTCGGCTGACTCCGCTTCACTCCATTCAAACAGGTACGAGTCAGCCGAGGAGCTCCGAGTGATACCCCCCCCCCCCCCCAAAAAAAAAAAAAAAAAAAAAAGAAAGAAAAGAAAGAAAAAAAATCACGAATTAATGATGATTATTGGATATTATTTACAAAACGCATAATTTTTTTTTCAAATCCAACATTTTATTCATAGTCAGCTTGTAACATGATCAAACTTTCTCTCATACATTATATATAGAGAGAGAATGCATATATTTTTAAAATCATATGCAGTAAGCAGACACATAGATAGAATCTTCATTTGTTGGAAAGGGCTTTATAAAAAGACTTAATTTTTTAGTCTGAGATTAAAAAAAGGAGTCATCAGAGATTATTATTAAGAGGTCACAACATGCACGAGCGTAAATAATCTGATTTCACGATCGCGGTGTAAATTGAGATAGGTCTATGGCAACATCAACAAAGGGGTTGCATAACTTCCGAATATGAAATTCTTATAATCTTCTGCAAATACATCTACAGTATGTGAAAAAAGAAAACGGAACTATTGAGATATTGCTTGAATACCAGAATAATTAACCATTTCTTGACTGATGATGTGAATTACAAGACAATTAATGATCCGGCACTTAATTAAATGATCAAATATAGGAGCGATCTTTTTTAGAGAAGGGGGGTGCATGTGCCATTGAATTTTCAAAGTGTCTATGGTCAAAATAAAAAAAAAGAAATTAATAGTAAATTAATACATAAAAACGAAAACGAACAAGCAAAATCGAAACCAAAAAAATTAATTAATTAAAAAGAAAAAAATAAAGGAAATCAAGATCGAGAGAATAACGAAAAAAAAAAATCGGAATCCTTGAAAGCTTCCCTTTCCATAGCAACATAAAATGAACATAAGCACAATAAAAAAAGTGCGCGCGCGAGGATGTTTGTGTGTGTGTGTGTGTGTGTGTGGGGGGGGGGGGTAATCAAACCATTTAATTATACGATATTGTGCAAGATTATAAGCTCAACTCAAAATGTTTTGAACTACTGTATTTGCCTTAAATAAAATAAGTAAACTTCAAATCAGAAAATAAAACTAATGTACATGAGTCTGATTTTAAATCATCGCTCTTAATTTTCTACTTTGAAGTTAACAACATCAATTTAAACCAAAGTTAACGTGTTAACGTGTAATGTTTTAATTTATTTCAATAAATTTAGGCAATGAATATTATAAGACCTCCAATTAGTTTTGAAAATGACCACTGTTGATTATTTTCACATTTAATTACGTCAGTTTTTCAAAACTCAGAGTATTGCGCCAAAGGTGATGGCGTTGATGAGCTTTCGCCGCTCCATCCTTTATGACATTGCTACAGACAGTTTCCTAGCAACTGCATTCATGTTTTTCCTACTATATACATGTATCAAATTGACAAATCGCTATTGCAATTATGCTAGTATCAGTTAACTTGATTTGATTACTTAATCTCTGATACAAACTTTGGGCATTGAGTCGCCAATTCTCGGGCCTTTCTGATTAACGGAGAAACAACCTGGAATGTGTAATATGTAATCCCCACCCCCACACCAAAAAAAAAAAAAAAAAAAAAAAAAAAAACATTGAAATAAATGCAGGAGACAACTTAACTGTAGAGTCTGGAGTTCAGCCGGAAAGGCCAAATACGCGATTGTCTTCACAGATAACTGAGGTAAACACGTGCACTGTACATGGATTTGTTCATAGACATTTTTCACTTCTCATGAATAAGGCCATTCATGAACTATCAAAAATTAAATTAGTTAATAAACTATTTTGGAAAAATTACCATTTAATCTATAATTGACGACATTAAACAATTTTTTTTCGGACAGTTATTGGCGTGTTTCTTTTTTAACATTAGTATTACGCAAATAAATTTTTATTTTGCTTTATCGTATGATTTTTTTTATCGACAAAACGCACCGGCGCGACGTCACGTCTTTGAAGCGCTATTGTGACGTAATTACATTTATGTCACGAAGGTCCCTTTTCGCTTGACGCAACTCATCTTTTTTTCCCTCTCTTACTGTAGCCTCTGGCTACATTCTTTTATCACCATTTCTTGATTTAACTAGTCTTCCTATCTAAGATAAATTTTTCTTGTCCCACTCTTCTTTATGTTCTTTTCTAATATTTTAGTGTACATGTATGTAATCTCCTCAGCCACTCAACCATCACAGCCAACCTTATTCCCTAACACTTCCATTACCCACAATTCCTAACCTTATTCTCTCAGACTGCCATTACCCACAATTCCTAACCTTATTCTCTCAGACTGCCATTACCCACAATCCCCGACCTTATTCTCTCAGACTGCCATTACCCACAATCCCCGACCTTATTCTCTCAGACTGCCATTACCCACAATCCCCGACCTTATTCTCTCAGACTGCCATTACCCACAATCCCCGACCTTATTCTCTAAAACTGCCATTACCCACAATCCCCGACCTTATTCTCTAAAACTGCCATTACCCACAACTCCCGACCTTATCCTCTCAGTCGGCCATTACCTACAATTCTACGCCTTATTCTCTCAGTCTACCATTACCCACAATTCCCTACCTCTTCCTGTCTCTCATGGCTCCTTCCTTGGCCTCCTTTAGAGCTGTCTCCAGTGACTTTGTTCTCTCCATTGTGGCCCTCAGTCTCTTCTCCAGCTTAGGTAACTCACATCTCAGATCAGCATTGTCACGCACAAGCTGGAAATAAGTAAACGAGCTAGAAATATCATACTATGTGTTACAGACAAGCTAGAATTATACAATGTTTAACAGACAAGCTAGAATAATACAATGTATTTGTTACAGACAAGCTGGGAATAAATAATGTGTAACACACAATTTTATTTACAAAATTTACACATCAGAATTTAACAATGAACTTTTTGTTTGATATGTCATATTTCTGTCAGATTTACATTAAAATATTGGTCTTCATTTTATTTTATCTTTGACCCTAGTCTAAGCAGTCAGTAACTATTCCTTACCTGTTTGTGGACTTTGGTCAGTTGTTCTAGATTGTTCTCTAGGAATGATATTTTCTGTTTCTGTGCCATGCTTCCTCCTATATCATCCTCTTCCTCATCATCCTTCTTATTGGCTGACTGTAACAGAATCAATGTAACAAGCATTACCATTGGCTGATTGTAGAATCAATGTAACAAGCATCACTATTCACTGACTGTAACACAATCAATGTAACAAGCAAAACTATTGGCTGACTGTAACAGAATCAATGTAACAAGCATAACTATTGGATGAATCTGACACAATCAATGTAACAGGCAAAACTAATGGTTGACTATAACAGAATCAATGTAACAAGCATTATGATTGGTTGACTGTAATAGAATCAATGTAACTATCATTACTATTGGCTGACCATTATAGAATCAATGTAACACACATTACAATTGGCTGACTGTAACAGAATGAATGTTAGAAGCATTATTATTGGCCGACTGTTAGATAATCTTGAAACAAATTATATTATTTCTTTTACAGGTCTAACCTCTACTGACCTTCTTGACTCTGTTCTGTAAGTCCTGTACAAACAGTTTCCTCAAGTTGTGAAGAGTCTGTAACTCTTTAGCCTAAATTAAAGAAAATAAAACATATTTGTAACATGTAAAATTCTATTGCACTCTTTCACTCTATATTTGGATAACTTTATGGCATAAGTTTTCACAATCAAAATGCCCAACTTATGAGGACATGTGCACCTGATGTTGATACTTACTGTAAATGTACTTCATTTGGATTGTACGATGTATGGCAGAAAGTGATTTTTACCAACTTGAAGTTAGCATGGATTTAAATTAGCTCTATCTAAATGTGCTTTATATGAATATAGTTAAATAAAATTTAGCGATGTACTTGATTTAGCGAAAATTGCTTTCACCAAAAGGTGCTAAATAGAATCTGTATTTTGCTGACTGGCCTGTTTGCAGGTGACATTCAATATTGACAGTTTACTTACCACAGTCTCCTCGAGGCCTTTGAGGTCTTGTTTCGCCTGCTCTCGGCGGTCATTCATTAGCGACAGTTCCTGTAACTTCTGAGATTTTTCTGTTTCCTCTGTCTTCAGTTTGTCATAATCCGCCTGAAGTTTCTCCAGCGCCAGACTCAACTTTTGGTTTGTACTGTAGGGAAGACAAATTTTTTTTCAAGAGAATATTTAATATAATACAGAATGATGACCCTGCATAATTATTAATATATTTGTTTTTAATATGATGAATATGCTCTTTCAAGTTAATTTCATACTGTAGACATATTTTTTTCCAGGGGGTCATAATTCCGCCGAATCTCAATTTCTGTTTAATCCGCAGGTAGAAAATTACGCAGATTGTCTAGACTGTCACTAGGGTAAATGCCGGTAATTTCGGACTGTTTGGTCTTCTGCGTAAGCCATGCTTGCTCTAGATTTAACCTGCTACATATGCCTCTGTTTACGATGTGACCTTCAACCATAATACATCTCAGCTCCCGAAAAATCCAGAGAATTCCGAAAATGAAATGAAAATGAAAGTCTTATAAAAGGAAAAACAAAACATGTTCAAGTCCGTTAAATTCGGATAAAGGGTCGGTAAATTCGGACAGTATATAATGTACTTGAATTGAAGTTCGGACAGAGTCCTATAAATTCGGAAATTTTAAAATTCAATCGAATTTCACCTTTGTTTCATATAGCCCCTATCAAACACATAAATTTCCATATATATGTGTGTCTATTTTAATAAATCTGGCATATAATAATTTTATTTGCCTTTTAATTGCAGGTGTAGAACCAATGTCCGATGTACAAATATAGGAATGGACAAGTAAACCACGAAAAACTGTTTTTAATTTGGAATCATCAGTAACTAATTTTATTAATTCAAATAAATAGAAATAACCACATATAAGCAAATTAATCAACAAAACAAGTTATATGTTTTTGTTTTCTTGTAAGGAATTGTTACGCTTCATTAAACATCATATTTTCATGTTTTTCCCTTTGTTTTCCTTAATCATCCGTTTCTCCTCTCTTTTCCTCTTTCTCTCTTGCTTCTGTTCCTCTAATTTTTGTTTTTTCTCTAACTTCTCTCTTTTTTCTTGTATAATAGCCGAGCTTGTCAGAAGCCGGTGTGAAGTTATCGCCCGACTTTTAGGCTTTTTTTCCGACGATTGAACAGCAGCAACAGGAGTAAAAATGTTGTCGATTTCCGTATTCCAAAATGAAGTATTCAGTTCTACCTCCTCCGACACCTCTGGATTTTGCACAACTTCAATTAGTCCCATGTTAATCAGAGTAAGCAAATGTTCTGGATTTTCGATTTCTGATTGACTATTTGCGTCTTTTGACTCGAATTCACCTGCTTCTGTGGGCAAAACAGCGGCTGCTGGGACAGGATTTTCCAGGATATCAGATGGTAAAACATGAAGATCATTAATGCTTTCCAGTACCTGCGTTTCCGCGACCACATCGGGAATTGGAACAATACTGTCACTGAGATCAGGAGTAGTGGGGTATGTAGAAACATTGTGTACTTCAGCAGTGACAGAAACCGTATTTTTGTTAGCAGACTGAGAAAGATCAGGGGAATTCAAGTATGTAGGGACATTGTGTACCTCGGCAGTGACAGCAGCCGTATTTTGGTTTGTAGACTGAGAAAGATCAAGGGAAGTCAAGGATGTAGGGACATTGTGTATCTCAACAGTGACAGCAGCTGTGCTTTTGTTTGTAGACTGAGAAAGATCAAGGGAAGTTAAGGATGTAGGGACATTGTGAACTTCAGAAGTGACAGTAGCCGTGTTTTTGTTTGTAGACTGAGAAAGATCAGGGGAAGTTAAGTATGTAGGGTCTGGGACATTGTGAACCTCAGCAGTGACAGTAGCCGTATTTATTGACTGGGAAAGATCAGGGGTAGTTGGAGCAGAATTTTGCGGGATGTCATAGGCTGAACTTGGTAGATACGCGCTCTCTGGAATAGCTTGTGGGTCAAAGGGATAAATACCGCATGCCCGGAAACCACTAACAATATTTTCGGCTGTAATCCCTTCTTCCCATGCTTTTTTGAATAGGGAAGGGAAGGTCCACTTGTTGATTACATGGGCGGCATTCTGGGAGAGGAAATCGGAGCAGAATTTGTTGTATGCTTTGTTGAATGGGCCAAACACCGACCTGTCCAACGGTTGAAGAAAATGTGTTGTATGTGGGGGCAGAGCGAGGACATGGATGCCTTCCTGATCGGCAAGCTCTAATAGGCCTAAAGTCTCATGAGACCCATGCCCATCAAGAATGAGGAGTTGGGGACGTTCGTTTCCGCAGTTGGGAATAAACACATTTTTAAACCATTGCTCCCCCAACTCCTCATCCATCCAAGCACGATCATTGAAAGTCCACATGCTGTTTTCAGGGGCTTCCGCCGTGTTGTATCCGTACAGGGACTTCTTTGTTTTCCCTTTTACCACTAGCATGGGCGGCATCTTTTCGCCTGAAGCATTTACACATGCCATAATTGTGATGTTGCTACGGTCAGTACTTGTTCGACCAACAACGTTTTTTGTGCCCTTCCGTGCAACAACATTAACAGGTGAGTGTTCTAATTGTTTGCCGGTTTCGTCGGCATTCCAAATTTTCTTTGGTGCATTTTGTAGATTCAAATTTTCGATTATTTTCCCCAAATCATTGAAATACCGCTGAACCACTACCCCATTTAACATTCTAGCCCTGACCGTACCCAACTTTTCTGGTTTTCTCAGACTAATTTCTGGGTGTCGACTTTTGAACCCATACCACCAATGTTTTGTAGGTTGCTTGTTTACAAAACAATTCAGCTTCAATCTATTGCAGAGAATGCCAGTTCTTGATAAAAGTTGTTGCCTAGAAATCCCAAAACCCTTTTCGGCAGTCTGTGTAACATTATCTACAATTCTTTTTTCAATTTCTGGATTCAATGCGGGTTTTCTTCCACTGGAGGCATACACATCAATTTTACCAGATACACGGTCGTACAGCGTTGACTTTTTTACCCCAAATTTTTCAGCCGCCTTTTTCAGAGATAGTTTCCCACTTTTTACCGCATCGTACGCCATTTTCATTTTTTCATAGTCATGCTTTGCATATTTCTGCCTCCGCGATGCAGACTTGTTCTTTTTGCCCATATTCCGTGCACTGAGTAAAAAAAAAAATGAAAAAATTCAAACATACCCACAAAAAAAAAATGATAGAAAAAAAAATCATATATTAAATTTACTTAGATTTTTTTTCAAATGTTAATGCAGAGACGTAGCAACAAGGGGTGGGGGCAGCCCCCCCCCCCTACTTTTCATCCCAACATTACCTTTACTACAGAAAATGTTCATTATTAGGATGGCACCCCCCCCTCCCCACTTTATACCATGGTAAAGTAATATTAAGGAATTGTAGGGAAAAAAATTCGAAGTGAAAGTAACTTGGCTTTGAAAAAGTTGGCCCCCCCCCCACCTTCCCCCCTACGAAATAGGATTTTCAAGTTTGGGCAAGTTTTAATTTTCTTTTTTTGTTTGTTTTTGTTTTTGTCAAGTTTTTCAGGTAAGTAAAAGAAATTTCTGGTTGCCCCCCCCCCAACTTTCAAAAACGATGCTACGTGCCTGTAATGGGTCTTTTTTTCCACTTATCAATTTAATTCTATAAAATTTTAAAGTAAAATTATAATTAAAAATTCACAAATTTGTCCTAGGATAATAGTGTTTGATACCCTTATGGGTGTCCGTAATTATATTCCCATAGGAAAACCTTGTCCGATAAATTCGGACACTTAAAAAAGTGAATTTTATTTATTATTCTCTTTGAATTTATTGTTTGTCTGTATAAAAACACATTTTATACCCTATTAATTTTATTATAAAACATTGCTTAATTCGGTATGTAAATTTTACTTACCAAAAAACGATTTTTTCTTTGACTCTATGGAGAAGTTAAATTTTCCCGGGCATGGAGATTTTGACGGAAAAGGCCGATACGGTGACCGATGCGGAAAATAATTAATTCATGTACTCGAATGTGTTCATATTCGGGATGTCTCTGTATTCTTCGTAAACAAAGGTACAAAATGAATGAAACAACACACAAGACTCTAGGATTTATTTATAAATTCAAGTTATAGAAAAATTTCGTCCGAATTTCCCGTCCGTCCGAAATTACCGGCATTTACCCTATATGCCTTACATTTATATTAATTTTGCTTGATCAAATTTCTGCAGAAAATTTGTGACCTTGTACATAGCGTAAATTAATACCAAGCGGAAAAAAGTTCCTCTACAGTACTTTAATCTGATTTATGACTGTTTGAGCTGGTCTATCGGATACTCACTCTTTGAGCTGATGAGATACTCACTCTTTGAGCTGGTCTATCAGATACTCACTCTTTGAGCTGATGAGATACTCACTCTTTGAGCTGGTCTATGTGATACTCACTCTTTGAGCTGGTCTATGAGACTCTGTTTCTCTGCCACCTCCTCTCTGAGCTCAGCGAGATGTTTGGCGTGCTGTTCTCGGTGTTGCTCCATCTGTTTCTCCAGAGATTCCTTCATGGCTGAGATATTCTGAACGCGATCCGACGCCTCCTTCTCTCGCTCCGAGACCGAGCTCAAGTGCATTTTCTCTGTATAACATAATTATATATACACATTTGAAAAATAAAAATCTTTGAGCTAGAATACAATATCTTTGTTAAACTTAAATTCATCAAAAAATATACAGACTGGAAATAAGAAATTTTTTTAGGCATTTGGGTCTGTTTTGAAAAAAATTATCATGAAAAAAAAACATTGATTAACTATCATGTCTCATATAATTCAATTCTACATGTAAATACTGAACTGCACTGGTCTTCTCAAAATACAGTTAAACCCGCACTCAAAAAAACATGCATAGAAACTACTAGTACCACATCTTTTATTTCTGGCCATATCTGTATTAGGATCTTCAATAAAAACCCTTTTCAAGAGAACCTTGATAATCTAGAGGGTATGCCAAGAAAATAATATCCTTACCCTCCATTTTGAGCATCTCCACTTGATCATTGAGTCTACTTACCCTCCATTTTGAGCATCTCCACTTGATCATTAAGGGAGTCCACAGTCTCCTGAAGCTGTTTCTTCTTGTTGTCAATGTCTTTAATGGTTTCATTCAGTGTGGACATCTTAGCTTCATACTGTTAAAACAGATTAACTAGTTAAAGTAGAATTTATCTTTCTTCACATCAATGCTGTGTTTATGAGCTACTATAGTAAATTTACAGTCACTGAGACCTTTCTCAACACTGCTGAGTTTTCATGACTTAGGTTGTATTGTGAGTTCAAATATAAATGAGATCTTTCTCAGCACTGCTGAGTTTATATGATTTACTTGTATTGTGAGTTTACATGACTTATTTGTAGTATAGTGAGTTTACAGTCACTGAGATCTTTCTCGGCACTGCTGAGTTTACATGACTCACTTGTTGTATTGTGAGTTTACTTACTTGTTGTATGGTGAGTTTACAGTCACTGAGATCTTTCTCTGCACTGCTGAGTTTCTCCTTGACCTCTGTCTCGGTGACCTCCAGTTGCTGAGAACGAGATACGAGCGTCTTGATGTCACTCTTGATCTTCGTGATGTAAATCCTGGCGACCGTGTAATCCTCCTCCAGCTTGTCAGGGCTAGCCCCGCTAAACTAAAAATAGACAAATGGGAAACTCAACTAAAAATAGACAAACAGGAAACCCCTCAAATAAAAAAAGACAGAGGAAATCTCTTCAGCCAGAAATAGTCAAACAGGAGTCTTTTAACCTAAATTAAAACCAAATACACAAAAAAATCTATCAATTTCTGGGCACGTATTTCATACATATGTATGTTGAAGTCACCGCATTAATCTTAAATTGCAAACATTATATTTAATATTTAAGCGATGCCCAATTTTTCAGGGATCTCCTTTAGCCCAAACAAAGCTCTAACTAGTTGACTCGTACCTTGAACTCGTTAGCGTTTCCGCCCACGATACTGCCGATCTCAGACATGTCCTTCATCAGACTCCCCATGATCTCCGTCATCTTCTTCCTCTGGTGGAGCGACGAGTCCTTCATCTTCTCAAACTCAGCCTTGATGTTATCCAGCTCACTCTACAGGAAAACATTAATATATTTTGTAAGTAAACTCTGTGCAGAGCCAGAATCCATGTACAGTAGCTCACTCTAGAATAAATAACATTATCTCAGATAAGTGAAGAAGAACCAGGATCAGAATGCAAATTTATGTACTGCAATATCTATTATTAATTTTCAAGACACCTTATTTTCACCAGATAGTCATTAACCCTCAATTTTAAGCAAGACCCATTCATAATTCCCAATCCAAAACTTCAGTACATATGTACCAGTTTATATACATCAGTACATATGTACCACTTTATATACATCAGTACATACATACCAGCTTCTGTTTAGTATAGATCAGTACATACGTGCATATTAATATACATCAGTACATACGTACCAGTTAATATACATCAGTACATACTTACTAGTTTCAATACAAACACACATACCAAAACACAAAACGTACAGTTTATATACATAAAAATGACGTACCAGTAAATATACATCAGTACATACGTATCTATTTAGCATACATCAGTACATACATACCAGTTTCTATACATCAGTACATATGTACCAGTTTATATACATCAGTACATACGTACCAGTTCATATACATCAGTACATACGTACCAGTTTATATACATCAGTACATATGTACCAGTTTATATATATCAGTACATATGTACTAGATTATAAACATCAGTACATATGTACCAGTTTCTATACATCAGTACATACGTACCAGTTTCTATACATCAGTACATACGTACCAGTTTATGTACATCAGTACGTACGTACCATTTAATATACATCAGTACATATGTACCAGTTTATATATATCAGTACATACGTACCAGTATATATACATCAGTACATACGTACCAGTTCATATACATCAGTACATATGTACCAGTTTATATATATCAGTACATACGTACCAGTTCATATACATCAGTACATACGTACCAGTATATATACATCAGTACATACGTACCAGTTTATATACATCAATACATACATACTAGTATATATACATCAGTACATATGTACCAGTTTATATACATCAAAAATACGTACCAGTTTATGTACATCAGTACATACGTATCAGTTTATATACATCAAAAATACGTACCAGTTTATGTACATCAGTACATATGTACCAGTTTATATACATCAGTACATACGTACCAGTTCATATACATCAGTACATACGTACCAGTTTATATACATCAGTACATATGTACCAGTTTATATATATCAGTACATACGTACTAGATTATAAACATCAGTACATATGTACCAGTTTCTATACATCAGTACATACGTACCAGTTTCTATACATCAGTACATACATACCAGTTTATGTACATCAGTACATACGTACCAGTTAATATACATCAGTACATATGTACCAGTTTATATATATCAGTACATACGTACCAGTATATATACATCAGTACATACGTACCAGTTCATATACATCAGTACATATGTACCAGTTTATATATATCAGTACATACGTACCAGTTCATATACATCAGTACATACGTACCAGTATATATACATCAGTACATACGTACCAGTTTATATACATCAGTACATACATACCAGTATATATATACATCAGTACATATGTACCAGTTTATATACATAAAAAATACGTACCAGTTTATGTACATCAGTACATACGTATCAGTTTATATACATTAGTATATACATACCAGTTCATATATACATCAGTACATACGTACCAGTTTATATACATCAGTACATACGTACCAGTTTATATACATCAGTACATACCTACCAGTTTATATACATCAGTACATACGTACCAGTTTATATACATCAGTACATATGTGCCAGTTTATATATTTCAGTACATACGTACCAGTTTCTGTTTACATACATCAGTACATACGTACCAGTTTATATACATCAATACATACATACTAGTATATATACATCAGTACATATGTACCAGTTTATATACATCAAAAATACGTACCAGTTTATGTACATCAGTACATACGTATCAGTTTATATACATTAGTACATACATACCAGTTCATATACATCAGTACATATGTACCAGTTTATATACATCAGTACATACGTACCAGTTCATATACATCAGTACATACGTACCAGTTTATATACATCAGTACATATGTACCAGTTTATATATATCAGTACATACGTACTAGATTATAAACATCAGTACATATGTACCAGTTTCTATACATCAGTACATACGTACCAGTTTCTATACATCAGTACATACATACCAGTTTATGTACATCAGTACATACGTACCAGTTAATATACATCAGTACATATGTACCAGTTTATATATATCAGTACATACGTACCAGTATATATACATCAGTACATACGTACCAGTTCATATACATCAGTACATATGTACCAGTTTATATATATCAGTACATACGTACCAGTTCATATACATCAGTACATACGTACCAGTATATATACATCAGTACATACGTACCAGTTTATATACATCAGTACATACATACCAGTATATATATACATCAGTACATATGTACCAGTTTATATACATAAAAAATACGTACCAGTTTATGTACATCAGTACATACGTATCAGTTTATATACATTAGTATATACATACCAGTTCATATATACATCAGTACATACGTACCAGTTTATATACATCAGTACATACGTACCAGTTTATATACATCAGTACATACGTACCAGTTTATATACATCAGTACATACCTACCAGTTTATATACATCAGTACATACGTACCAGTTTATATACATCAGTACATATGTACCAGTTTATATATTTCAGTACATACGTACCAGTTTCTGTTTACATACATCAGTACATACGTACCAGTTTCTATACATCAGTACATACATACCAGTTTCTATACATCAGTACATACGTACCAGTTTCTATACATCAGTACATACATACCAGTTTCTATACATCAGTACATACGTACCAGTTCATATACATCAGTACATACGTACCAGTTTCTATACATCAGTACATACGTACCAGTTTCTATACATCAGTACATATGTACCAGTTTCTATACATCAGTACATACGTACCAGTTTCTATACATCAGTACATACGTACCAGTTTCTGGTTCAGTTCCTCTACGATGGTCTCGTTTTCTTTGTTCTTGTTCTCCACTTCCTGTGATTTCTGGTCGTAATTCATCGCCAACTCCTCCAACGCCTGCAGAACTTCCTTCACCTGTAAATACACACATTTGCAATTTATTATTCTCATAATTTGACATTGAAGAGCTCATTCGCAATAATATGTACTTGCAAAAAATAAAGAATCTACAGTATATACCTGTAAATATACAAATAAAATTATAAACATGTTCCAAGGCACATTCACCTAGACAAAAAAGATTTTTTTATGAGGAAGGAATTCAGGGCTTTATAACCCTTGCAGGGCTACTTTCTCTACATGTAAATAAAGACATCATTAGAATAGGACTTTAAGAGGTGTACCTTTTGTGTAATTTTTAATTGTATAAAGTTAACATTGGAAAGATTTTTTCTTATTTTATCAATTCCAGAGTTCATCTTAGAGATATTTCATGTAAAGAAATAAAAGTTGGTGAATGATGAGGAATTCATTTATAAAAATTCATCACTAAGGCCATGCAAAGCTAATTCCTTGGTTCTAAGGCCTTTTTTCAAGAAATATGACGAGGGAGGGAGGCACTTTTTCTGACTTTTTATTGCCTTCAAAACATGATGAGACAGCTTTTCTACATTGTATAAAACCTTTAAAAATGATGAGGAAGGTGATTTGTTGTTTTTATCTTACTGATTTAGCAATAAAAATGGTCAAAGAGGCACCCTTGGAAGAGATGAGCAACGGCCTAAGAACCAAGAAATTAATTTTTTTGCCTGAAATCCCCTATTTATACCTCGTCCTTGGCTGAGTCGTTATCGGCCTGTATTCGTGTCATCTCCTGCTGCAGCGAATCGTAGTCTCGTTTTCCCATCGTGATCAGGTCTTCCTGTCCCAGCATTTGTTCCTTCAATCTCTCTATCATCTGAGATAATTCATTTATCTCCTCATCCTGATTGGAAAGAGAGAAAAGATCAATATCAGGCATTTGTACTGTATACAGAGTTATTTTTCCTCTTCTTATTTTTGCCCATTCACACTTGAAGACAACTCTACCCCGTTTAACTTTGCAAAGGATTATTCTTTACCCTGTTTTTTATTTTCACACTTGAAGACAATTTTACCCCATTTTAAATTCACACAGGGTTATTCTTGCACTGTGATATTTTCACCCCTTCACACTTGGGAGATAATTTTACCCTGTTTCAACTTTGCACGGGGTTATTTTTACCCAGTGTTATTTTTGTCTTATCACACACTTGAACCCCTTTTTTAACTTGTCACTACACTGACCTTGTCGTCCAGTTGCTCGTAGAGCTTCATCTTCTCCTCCTCCAGCTGAGCCTTCGTGTTCTCGTCCAGCGTGGAGCTGACGCTGGCGGTGAGGGCGGCGGGCAGGGGCGGCTTCTCTTCCTCCTGTAATGACGCTGTGCTCGCCTTCATGTCCACTTGTTCATCCAGAGTAACAGATTGACCTTATAACGGAATCAACATACACATTATAACATAAGGACATTGTACCAAGCAGCTTTTAACTTTCAATTTGCAGATCCACTATTTCATTTTACAAAAGTTACAAAAAAAATTAATCATATCAAAATATTATTTCTTTGAATACAGTCATGTTAAATTTATTTCTTTTGGCATACAAACAATATTTTACAATCATATCAGCTCTGTAGCTGATTGCTATGAGATAATCATATTTTAATTAGGAATTCCTGTCCATTTTCTGAACAGCCTGTTTATAATGAGATATAATCAACCTTAAACTAACTCAATGTTGTCAGAGATTAGAAATTAGTCACTAATGAACCATTAGGAGAAAATCAATTAAAAACTTAACCACTGATGAAAAATAACTGACAAGTGAGTTTTCTTTTAAGGAAACACTGAGAAGTGCACCGCAGTGAATGAGTGAAAAACAACTTACCACTGACAAGTGCACCGCAGTAAAAAAAACAACTTACCACTGCGCCACTTTTGGAGCTCGGCCTGACATTTCTCCAGCAGTCCCTTGTACCGCGCCGCTTTCTCCTTTTCTTTCTCGTATCTCTTCTTCCATTCCTCCGCTGTTAGTTCTTCATTTACAGAAACAATGTTCTTAATCGTCTTAGCTCTATAGAAAATAAAGGACTTAACATGTCAGCTCTCCATTCACAGATACAATGTTCTTAATCGTCTTAGCTCTACAGAAAATAAAGGACTCAACATGTCAGTTCTCCATTCACAGATATAATGTTCTTAATCGTCTTAGCTCTACAGAAAATAAAGGACTCAACATGTCAGTTCTCCATTCACAGATACAATGTTCTTAATCGTCTTAGCTCTACAGAAAATAAAGGACTCAACATGTCAGCTCTTCATTTACAGATACAATGTTCTTAATCGTCTTAGCTCTATAGAAAATAAAGAACTCAACATGTCAGTTCTCCATTTACAGATACAATGTTCTTAATCGTCTTAGCTCTATAGAAAATAAAGGACTCAACATGTCAGCTCTTCATTTACAGATACAATGTTCTTAATCGTCTTAACTCTATAGAAAATAAAGGACTCAACATGTCAGCTCTTCATTTACAGATACAATGTTCTTAATCGTCTTAGCTCTATAGAAAATAAAGAACTCAACATGTCAGTTCTCCATTTACAGATACAATGTTCTTAATCGTCTTAGCTCTATAGAAAATAAAGGACTCAACATGTCAGCTCTTCATTTACAGATACAATGTTCTTAATCGTCTTAGCTCTATAGAAAATAAAGGACTCAACATGTCAGCTCTTCATTTACAGATACAATGTTCTTAATCGTCTTAGCTCTATAGAAAATAAAGAACTCAACATGTCAGTTCTCCATTCACAGATACAATGTTTTTAAACGTCTTAGCTCTAGTTAAATCACAGGCCTTATAGGTCACCTGAGTATCATGTAACAACTTTCCAGCGCTTGTATTTGGTTTGTGATTTAATCCCAAGGTCATGAAATTCACAAATTTTGAAAGAGGCACCATGCATTGCTTATCAAAGAGCAGATTTCAAAGCATTGATTTATTTTTAGTCAAAGTACAAATCAATTCTTTAAAACTCTTTCAATATATCTTCATTTTTTAAATGTGTGTTAGGTGAATGTGTAGACATCGTACTAAAACATACTTGATGCCTAAAATTATAATTCCTATCATAAAACAGACAGGGAATACTGCGGAGTAGGGTGAACATTTTTTCAATTAAGTGTAAAATAATTTTTCTGGCTGCCACAAGTGATACTACATGCCTGTAATCCCTGTATATATTTGTATATACTTTCTTTTTAATAGTTGAATTTTTTTTAATTTCTTCAAGCTTTTGTTTATTTCTTCCTCAAATGGACTTAACTTCTCCCATAGTTTTATTCATTACATCTGATGCTTAAGAATGATACTTAGACTGTAAGCTATAACAGAGACCTAAACAATGGCGCTAGCAATAGCTACCACCGGCAGTTTTAAACCTGTGGGGAGGAAAATAATTCATCGACAGATACTTTTGAAACGAATACATAATTATCTCACCAGCATGTCATTATGCAACAAGGTCGTCAGCATTTCATTTGTCCTTTGAATGGGTGAAATGTTTCAAATGGCACTCTTATCGATGAATTTTACAATAAATCAAGCTATCTTTGCAGATCTAGCTTTATTACCCGCCAAGTTCATCTTAAAACCGGAAGTACAAGTTTGTAAATTTGAAATCTTTATCCAAACTCAAATTTGACATCAGAAAGAAAAAAAATGTTTTTATTATTTTTTTTCATGAAAATTCAAACCCTTGAGCGGTGGGTTTGTAAACCTGAAAATAAAATAAATCCTGGCCTTAAATATGTAATTAGATCATTGGCATATTAACCAAGAGCAAAGGATAAGATGTTCAAAGAATTCATGCATTTCACTCTATAATCATTAGAGCCCCACCCTAAAACATGAACCCCTGACCCAGGGGCCCTGAAATTCACAAATTGGGAAGAGGCAGTCTTATTCAACATAACTATGGACTTGGTTAGTTTATTTAATACCCAGGAGTAGAGAAGAAGATATTTAAAGAATTAATGTATTTTCACTATATAATCAATAGAGCCCCGCCCTAACACCAGAACCCCTGACCCTGGGGCCATAAAATTCACAATTTTGGTAGAGGCACTCTTGCTCATCATAACTATGTACTTAATTTAGTTTATTTAATACCCAGGAGCAGAGAAGAAGATTTTCAAAGAAATAATGCATTTTCACTATATACTTATTTAGCCCCACCCTAGCACCCTAGTACCCCTGACCCCAGGGCCATGAATTTCATATTTTTGGTAGAGGACTCAATGCTGATTACAGTCATGCAAACAGTTTGACTGCTTGATGTCCAGGAGTAAAGAAGAGGATTTTTAAAGATTTCATAAATTTAACAGGTTTTTGCCCCACCCATCAGGCCCAAGGGGGGCAGGGACCATGAAATTCACAATTTTTGTTCCCCTTCATCCATAGACGCTTTGTGCTAAATTTGGTTGAAATTGGTTGAGTGGTTGCAGAGAAGAAGCTGAAAATGTTCAAATGTTAACACACGGTGCACGACGACGGACGAAAACGGATAGCAATAGGTCACCTGAGTTTACTCAGGTGACCTAAAAGTAAAATTTTTAAAATAAAGAACAAGCTAGACTTAACACGTTAGCTGTTGATCGAACAAGATTTTTTTGTTAACAATTAGATACGTTGGACATTAAATGCTCGCACAGCTTACCCATATAATATAAACTCATCATTCCAAGAAAACACCAAGATACTGTATGCTGGAATTCTCTAAACTTTCAGAATTTTTTTTTACAATCTAATTTTAAGCTACTGGTATATAATAATGTATCTTACCGCTGACCAAACAGTAAGGTAGACTTGGTTTCCGATTCATTGAAGGAGGCGGGAGAGCAGCAGATGACAACCGTCGTCCGGGCGTTTCCTCCTAAACTCTCCTGGAGTATACGTGTCAGCTTACTGTCTCTGTACGGCACGTGGCTCTTCTGCAAATCACAACATCATAGAAGCTAACTCAACATGACCAGACTCGGAAAACACACTTGTAAGCCAAAAATTTTACATCATAGCAGTTAATTCAGTATGATTAGACTTAGATACATGTATAAAGTTTATACCATAAACACAGAAATAAACTTCATGTGATCAGACAAACAAACTCCATATCATAAACACACAAATAATCTGATATTATCAGACACAGTATTTATAGCAAAATGAAGAAGATTTACAAAATCTCATTTGTACATTCTTCTGCACAGTGACTACATGTACTGTAAACATGATAAACCAACTTTTATTCGCAACCAGTAATATCCACAATTTTTGCAACCTTCATTTATTAGTGAATATTTATCATCCCAATACAATAATTCTGTATGTCTTTATGTAAATGTGTCCTCGTTTGTGAACATTAGTAGTTGCAAACACATTCCAAACTGATGCATCAGGAATAACAGATTTTGTGCTTGATTTTGTTGGTTGACAGTATTTACAGCTTTTTTTATATCAATATTTGATGTTTGTATAGTTATACAATAGTTGGTTGACAGTATTTACAGATTTTTTTATATCAATATTTGATGTTTGTATAGTTATACAATAGTTGGTTGACAGTATTTACAGATTTTTTTTAATATCAGTATTTTGAAGTTTATATGTGTGTGTGCTTACATTGCCGTCCGCCAGTGCAGCAATGACATTCCCCAGAGCAGATAATGATTTGTTGATATTTTTAGCTTCGTCCAACACGGCACCCTCAGCTCCCGTCTTGCTGACCTGAAAAAATTGAGCTTGTTGATTTATAAATTAATATAGAAGAGGCCCATTGGCTATATCGCTCACCCGAGTAACTCTTTTGCCATTCTGTTCAAGATTTCCTCCACTGTAATAACTATCATGACCCCGCCCTTCCCCAAGGGGTCATGATCTGGATAAATTAGAGTACACCATACCCCAAGCAGATTCCACACATGTTTTAGCTTAAAAATACTAAATAATGTTTCTTTTCAACCACACAATCAAATTCCTTTGTACTTTTTATTCCTCAAACCATGAAAATTTGGCCCCACGAATTGAATTGATGTTACAGTAAGCGATTGTAAAATATAGTATTTACTGCCCTTTTGGATACGTACTTTTTCACTTCCAGCCAGGTCCACTAAGTACAGTTTGCCGTTCAGTTTCTTCTGGTTCTCCAGGTTTTCTTGTTTCACGTTGATAAGGAACACACTGTGTGACCGAGAACTATGCTCATTCATATCTACAATATAAAACAGAGGTGAAGAAATTCTGTAAATAAACTTTCCTGTTGTCTAGGGGGAGTTGCTGATGTATCAGAATCTGTAAATATACACTTAATCTTTTTAGGCCTAATTCTAATTCATGCCCCTAAACAAATGAAATGAAAAGAAGCATGTTTAATTTCATTTGCAAGCCTGGTACCATAAACACACAAACTGGTGACGGCTACATTGCGATAAGGTTTTTCTTACTGGCAACGGCGACATGGTGATAGGCTTTTACTTACTGCTGACGACAACATAACAGCGACATGACGATTAACTTTTATTTACTGGTGATAGTGACATGACGATTAACTTTTTATTGATTGGTGACCACGACATGACGATTAGCTTTTACTTACTGGTGACAGCAACATGGCGATTAGCTTTTACTTACTGGTGACGGCGACATGGCGATTAGCTTTTCCTTCATCAATGGCTTCCATCACTTCTTCTGGACTGGACACAAATCTCTCTGTGGCTCCCTATATGTTAATTTACAGTTTGTTAGACCAATGAGAACTGACTCCGTTTCATTCAATCGAATTATAAGCTCGTTTTTTTTTACCTCATTAAAACAAAAACTCTTTCTCAACATAACATCTCAATCTCTCTGCCACATGAAGATGAATCAATCTATCTCAATCCCCCCTAGATATTATTATTATTATTCTACTTTTATATAGCGCCCTATATAATTATGGAGTTACCCTAAAGCGCTTTACACGTAGAAAACAACAGTATAAAACAAAGGAGGGGTACAATATAAAAAAGCAAAAAGGTAAAATAATAGGGCGTTTTTTTTTTTGTTTGTTTGTTTTTTTTTTTTAAATAAAATAAAACCAACTGGATGCTCCATTGTGACTAGAGCCTTATAAACTAAAGGCGAGTCTAAAAAGATGTGTTTTTAGATTTCTTTAAAAAAATATCTTTCTTTCATGATGTTGTCTCTTTTTCTCTCATGATAAATATGCCAAACCATTTAGTTTCTCTCACTCATTTGTCTAAGTTTCCACTATAAAATCTCACTTCACGGATTAGAAAACATTTTTGTCACCACTTTCACCATATATCTACCAGAAAGTTGTGTTATTTAACCCACCTTGACATATGGAACTCTATTCTTGTCTTCATGTACTGACAGATTCACCTTGGAAACTGTACAGAAATAAAATATATTAGTCATTTATCACAAACTTAATGAAAATATAATTTATGACTGTCAGAAAGTACAATTTTACTTCTCATATAACTTGTATGAGCAGTTCACCACCACCCTCTTCTCCCATGTTCATGATGTTTGATATATTTAGTTAACATTATTATCCCAATGACAGAAATCCTTAGGTGTTTTGTTATCACTCATACTCACTGTCAAGTAAATCTCGGATTTTATCCATGTAGATCTCAAAATAGGACACCTACAAAAACAAAATAAAGGATAAAAGAATATATCAGCTAAAGACTTACTTATTCATAACAGTTACACTTCAGGTAAACAAGAAAATAAATAAAATAATCAAGTAAATAAATATTCCTTGATTCCCGCTATCTCCCATAGTAATACCACTCGGACATTCCCCTTTCTTACCATAGGATAACTATATGTACTTAAAATATTCTGTATCATTCTACCTTTATCATGCCTTGTCCAATATAATCATCAACACATCACCCCTAAATCAAAATTTTTATACACCTACTTTGATGTGGAATTCCAGATTTTCTTCCATTCCATAAATATAACTGAAGATATCCTGAACGATCCTTGGAATAATTCCATGCATCTTGTCATTTCCAAGAACACCCTGTCCAAGATGAAAATAGCAAATTCTAAATGTAGTCATCATAAAATAACAACTGAATGAATTGATTACATATTTTCAAAAAATACAGTACATTTGAAAAAAATCCTCAAGTGGTACAAGTATATTTCATCCTATGGCCCCCAAAAATTAATCAATAGTTTCTCAGGCACCGCCGCATCAGTTTAAAAACGGCCGCATTGATCAATTTTTTTGACATATTGAAAAGGGAAATAACCCAATTTTCTATTTTTCCAAGTTGAAAAAGAAAATCGAGTTATTGCCCTTTTCATAAATGCTAAGATAGACGTTTTTATTAGAAAAACAATATCTTTCTTCTAAATCTACAGTATTTTATAAGTTAACTTTTAAATAAATGTTTGGAATAAAATTATTTAAGGTTGAATACATATTATAACTAATTTCAGAGAACAAAACTTAAGAATTAGTAGATATTATCATTTTATTGAACAAATGACTTTTTAAAAACAAGAGGCCCATGGGCCACATCGCTCACCTGAGAAGCTTTGACCATTCTGTTCTTTACCAGATTTCCCCCTTGTTATACATAATGCATCCCCATCCTACCCCACTGATCATAATTTAGACATTTTGAAATCTACACTACCACATGATCCTTCCATGGATGGGCACATATGTTTCAGCTTTTTTGGCCCAGTGGTTCCTGAGAAGAAGATTTTTAAAGATTTTTCCTATATATTTCTATGTAAAACTTTGATTCCCTATAATGGCCCCGCCCTTCCCCCAGGGGTCATGATTTGAACAATTTAGAATTTACACTACCCCAGAATGCTTCCACATAAGCTTCACTTTTTCTGGCCCAGTGGTTTTTGAGAAGAAGATTTTCAAAGATTTTTCCTATATATTTCTATATAAAACTTTGATTCCCCATTGTGGCCCCGCCCTTCCCCCGGGGGTCATGATTTGAACAATTTAGAATCTACATTATACCAGGATGCTTCCACATAAGTTTCAGCTTTTCTGGCCCAGTGGTTCTTGAGAAGAAGATTTTCAAAGATTTTTCCTATATATTTCTATATAAAACTTTGATTCCCCATTGTGGCCCCGCCCTTTCCCCCAGGGGTCATCATTTGAACAATTTAGAATCTACATTATACCAGGATGCTTCCACATAAGTTTCAGCTTTTCTGGCCCAGTGGTTCTTGAGAAGAAGATTTTCAAAGATTTTTTCCTATATATTTCTTTATAAAACTTTGATACCCCATTGTGGCCTTGCCCTTCCCCCCGGTGTCATGATTTGAACAATTTAGAATCTACACTATACCAGGATGCTTCCATATAAGTTTCAGCTTTTCTAGCCCAGTGGTTCTTGAGAAGAAGATTTTCAAAGATTTTTCCTATATATTTCTTTATAAAACTTTGATACCCCATTGTGGCCCTGCCCTTCCCCCGGGGGTCATGATTTGAACAATTTAGAATCTACATTATACCAGGATGCTTCCACATAAGTTTCAGCTTTTCTGGCCCAGTGGTTCTTGAGAAGAAGATTTTCAAATATTTTTCCTATATATTTCTATGTAAAACTTTGATTCCCCATTGTGGCCCCGCCCTTCCCCCGGGGGTCATGATGTGAACAATTTAGAATCTTCACTATACCAGGATGCTTCCACATAAGTTTCAGCTTTTCTGACCCAGTGGTTCTTGAGAAGAAGATTTTCAAAGATTTTTCCTATATATTTCTATGTAAAACTTTGATTCCCCATTGTGGCCCCGCCCTTCCCCCGGGGGTCATTATTTGAACAATTTAGAATCTACACTACCCCAGGATGCTTCCACATAAGTTTCAGCTTTACTGGCCCAGTGGTTCTTGAGAAGAAGATTTTTTAATGACCCAACCCTATTTTTGTCTTTTCTTGATTATCTCCCCTTGCGAGGGGATATGTCCCTTCATTTTAACAATTTAAATTCCCCTTCACCCAAGGATGCTTTGTACCAAGTTTGGTCAAAATTGGCCCTGTGGTTCTTGAGAAGAAGTCGAAAATGTGAAAAGTTTACAGACGGACGGACAGACGGACGGATAGACGGACGGACAGACAGACGGACGGACGACGGACAAAATGTGATCAGAAAAGCTCACTTGAGCCTTCGGCTCAGGTGAGCTAAAAAAGGTGCAGACTAAATCCTGCTTCAAAAAAAAAAAAAAAAAGCCTGCCTGCCGCATTGAATTTTGATTTTTTTGGCCTGAGAAACAATTGATTAATTTTTTTTGGCATATACTCTATATTACACAGAACATTCTTAAACTTATCTTCTACTGAGCATAAATTATTCTCAAAAAAATAAACTAGATGTTTATAGTAACAATCCTAAATCTTAGGCACACAATATTTAAATTCAAATTCATCAACATAGTGCATGAGCTTAATAATATGAATTTTTTTCTCTCCTAAAAAGTTCTGACAGGGGCAATAACTCTAAAATGGTCAATGAACATAACAATGACTTGTCTTGGAATCCCACCTCCATGGTATGTGTTTTGCCGGAGGATGTCTGTCCATAGGCAAAGATGGTTCCATTGTATCCACCCAATACATCTGAAAGAAAAGATCTCACTAATTAAATAAATTTACATGCGGTAAGCTAGTAAAATAAAGTACAATAAATTTATCCTAATAACATTGAACTGGTTTAGACTTTTAATTTGTTAACAGGAGCATAAACAAGTACTAGACTTATTCATCAACTCATTACTGGAATCCTGACAAAGTGAATAAATCATGGTTGGTTTCTAGTACTATAGGTGTCCATAGGAATTGAACTCAAAATATGAGGGGACGTATTACAAGAAGAAAACTGCCTTGGGTTCCTCCCTTTGTGAGAACGGAGGGGAAAAAGCCAGAATAACTGAGAGGGTGGCAGGGAAATGCCCCCCCCCCCAGGTCTTATGCACAACAACCCTGACATGTATACATCTTTGTATGCTGTCATAAACTTTGACTATGCAATTTCTCACATCAGCTTAAATTATTTGAAGAGCATATGAAATGTAACTTGTCAATCCAAGAAAACTGCACAGTTTCTGCCTGCTTATAATAGATAAATAGTTAGATTTCACATTAACGCTGTCTCGATACAAACCGGCTACAATAGGCTTGGCTGCTGTCTCGTAGACCTGCTCCTGAGTGACATTGGGTTTTAAAACTCGGTCAAACACAAACAGCTTCCCCTACAATAAACCAATAATTAAAATTAATAACATTAATTAGTTAACTTTGATTAATATCTAGCAGCATGCATGCACTTTCAGTAACTTAACAAAATTAGATGCCACACAACCTGGTAATTGAATGAATGAAAAAATCTCGTCATGATGATCGATTGACAATTTGACATCATATGCAGTGATATATGCCCTCCTTTTATCATTAAGTAACTGTAAGTGATGTCCAGTGTAGATTTGTGCAATTTTTAAACATCAATTGATCAAATATTCAAGCGAGTGGAAAGTGTATCATTCTACATACTGAATTAAAAACACATGCAATACTTCAAAGTTTGACCACCTCTCCACATATCTGAAGTAACTGTACCCCCCTCCCCCATATCTGAGGTTACTGTAATCTCAGTAAGATGGGTAGAGACTAAAATTTTGGTCTGACATCGGGGCAAAAAACCCCGAATCACATTGTGGCATGGGTAGTCTAGTGGTTAAAGTGCCGGACTCCAAACCGAAAGGTTGCGAGTTCGAATCCTGGCCACGGCAATTCGACGATGTGTCCTAGGGAAAAACACTTCACATGAATTTCCTCACTCCACCTAAGTGTAAATGGGGTACCTGGCTATAGACAGTGAAAGATATTGTCAGAATGTTAGTGTTCTAGCATCTTAAGGTAGTTCTATACTCGGCACTAAATGGGCTCAATCTTTAAAAATCTGCTTTTATAAGATAGACATACATCCCAGCAATGGATAGACACAAGAAAAATGATATGTCAACGTGTTTACTTTTCCGCTATAGCCTATCGGAGTATATACCCCGAAATGTAAAATACTGAAAATTTACCTATCCTAGATTTTGTTGTATATAAATTAATTAAAGTCTAAATATTCAACTTTAATACCCAAAATAGAGTAGAAACATGTTAGTAAACAATATGTAATCCTTGTTTTGTATGAATTATTATAAATAGATGCACTTTGTTAGGCTATTGTATCAAAATTTAATGTGAGAAAATATGCTTCACAGGACAATCTCGGTCATTTAAAAAAAAATTATGGACTCAAACTTCGTAAATTTACATTATTTTTACTAAATTATATTTAAGAAAAAGAATAAGCTGAAAAAAATTATATGTTGACGCATTACTTTTTGTGGTATGAGCTCTACACTAAAGAGACCCCCCTAATTTCTTTCTTCCAGAAGTAATATATTGCCACATATTCCTGTAATACTGTTAATGTTTGAGTGTATACTTGTATTAACAAAGTTGTACATAATTTAAAACAATTATTATACACACCCAAAACCTATTGTCCCTAAAATTTATCTTATTGTACTCAAAAAAAAAAAAAAAAAAAAAAAATTAAATTGGAGACGATGAAAATGAAAGTAATTGACTGATTCTCAGAAACTGGATGATTTTGTTACAGAAAGTAACTAAGTATGCTACAAAAGAGTCAACTTTTGTCAAATACTTATATTCAAAAGAAAATGTTGCATTGGGATTCGTGGGTAAGCAGGTTGGGGGAGGGGGGTATGCGTTGTATGCAATAATTATTATTCAAAGTAAATTTTGTAATGTTTGATAAGTAAAATCCATTAATTGTCTAATCAATTGCAAATCGTAGTCATTACTTTACTATTAGCTTGAACTTGGCCGCCGACAGTAGTCGCCTCGATAGTTTGATACATGTTCTGATGTAGCATGAGATGACCATGGTCCGTGTTTTCGGCGCGGCATATAAAACATGCATCATTCACAGAAATATCGTTTTATTACCTAATTATTTCTGTCAACCGAAAGTTGTTCCCAGCCTTCTCTTATTCTATCAATTTATCCTTAAACTGTAGAATCTGTATTTGTTGACGCGACCGACTTCGAGCAAAATCGTTACCGGATATTTAAAACGCTAAGTAAAAGTCAAACCAATACAGTTAAAAAATCTCATCTCGGAAAAAGGAAGCGCGGTTCCGGTTTTACTATTCGTCAGTGACGTAGTGCGAGTATAGAACTACTTTAACGGCAGTTTGCACTGAGAAAAGATTCTGGATTGTTATGGTCTGCTGGGGTGGGGTAATAATGAATTGTAAAGCACTTTGAGTAGCATTTATGCTAGAAAGGCGCTATATAAAAACCAATCATTATTGTGCAGGATCGCACTGAGACGTAGACGTCAGACCAAAATTTTAATCTTACACATCTTGCTGAGATTTAGGCGACTGTAACCCCCTACCAATCCATACATTTTTTCAGACAGTCATACACCTACAGATAATTACTTATAATACCCATTCATTTACTTTGTTTGTCTACCGACATGATGATGAACACTTACGCCACAGTTAATGGAATCTTCTGTCGGAAACTTCACCACGAACTTACTCCCGGCTTTTTCTTCCGAGGAGTTTAGAGGTCGTATCCGACAGACGACTTTGATGCCGCATTCGTCAGCCGGCGTCGTCATGTTTTACCAGGACGATGGCTGCAGTCCGAGTCTAGAAATCTAATTATGCATCGATCTCATCAATATGATAGAAACTCAGTCCATCATTATAATTCAAACGCATACGAGACCTCTAAAAATAATAACAAACTGACTAAATGAGAATTTTTTAGAGAAGATCTTAAAGTGGAATGTTTAGAGAACTAGAAATACGGAAGGGTGTTGCCTTGCAATCCTTGAAAACGGTGGATCGGGTCCAAGTTTTTATCACATAACGTCTGCTTCGAATCCCATAATCAATGTCAGAATTGCATGGTGGAAGATGACGTGATTTATTGATTGCGGGGAACCTCGTGTATTTGTGACATCTTCCTATGCTTTTTCAAGAGGATTCCCGAATGAAATTTCGGCATAATGCAAATTCCGGTACCAGACAACTCGTACACAAACATTTCGCGTGCTACTAAATTTTCCGTTTATTTCCCGAACATGACAAGGAGCACACGTCGCATTGGGTGTCACCGATAGATAGGGGATGCTCACGTGGGTGGGGGTTTTAAAGTTGGGAGGTTGATCAACCTGGGAAAAAATACTTAATTGTATGAATTACCTTAAAGTTTTCAAAGGCAGAGAATTTAAGCACCGCCTTCAAAATTAACATGGATTAAAAAAATTCTGGCAATAAATAAAATTCCCCCCATTCTACAGCAAATATCTAAGCTACAAAAAAATTATTTTTCTATAACATTATTCAAAATTTTTTTTACTGAATTGCAATTAGGAAAACAATATTTTTATTAGATCAAGAGTTACAGATCGAGTCATGAAATTTTAGTCTTAGTCGTAAGATTTTTTGTGAAAAAGGCCACTGGTCTGGGAAGCCCTGTCAATCAAGTGCATGAAGGTCCATCATTGGATACTGGGACTTGATTGACATTTACCTACTGGTCCTTGTGTATACTCTGTACACCTTGTTTGGCACTCATGGGGACCTTCAAATTAACTACTGATGTTAATAAAACAGGTTTTACAGAAATTGTATTACATACATTTAGTATTTGAAAAGATTATAAATTTATAATAATATAATATAAATAAATAAAAAAACTTAATTTAGTACATAAAAACTTTTTTTTCTGATGAAATTTTTATATATTAGTTTTAATATGCTAAACAGTAACCTAAAGTGAAAATGTTTTTGAATAAGTTTAGAGCATGCATGCATTACCGTCACTGTGTCAAGTAATCAAATTTTAAAATATTTATAAATGTTTCTAATCACGGGTAACATATTTTTCTTTGTTATCCGGAAAAGAATTTTACATGCAATGTTTTAGCATGTTTGATGGTGACAAAATTATAGGTTATTAAACCTAGATATTTTTCAATATATAATGTAGTTATAACACGGCTCTCTTTTCATTTAATATATAGATGGGATCCTGGGGATGAATGAAATAAGTCTAATATTTGGTTGTTACTGGAGGTTTTTTTTTTAAAGAAATATGACCTTGTGGTATCTCGTCCAAATGCCTGGTAATTAAGGTACCTTAATTTTTTGTGAGGAAACTTGTTTAAGGTAATTCAATGACAAATTCTTACGAAAAGTTGTATATTTTTGAGGAACGTGTCGTCTGACCTTAAATCACTTCCTGTGTATAGGGATTAGGAGACAGATGACCACAGGTAGACTGCTAGCCCCCAAGGCATTCACACCTGTACAAAATTAGCCCCTCCCTCACCTGGAATTTAGAAAGGAAAATAAATCTTCGAACCCGAAAATTCTATTTTGTAAGGGGCCGGGTGGGGTTTCATTTTGTTTTCACAACCAAATTTCTTTATAAGTTACAACATAAGCCTTATACTGAACATTTTAAATTATAGTAAAAATACAACAAAAATTTAGGACTTTCTTCTTTTTTCTCTCTCTCTCTCTTTTTGCAAATCCAAAGAGGGGGGGGGGGGTTGCAATCCCACACACCCCCTCTGAATCAGCCACTGAGTCATGGAAAAAAATTAAAGTGTTTTATCATTAGATTGAGTATATATAAATCATAATCGAACATCAAAATAACACCTGGGGCTTATCTTCCGGATCCAATGACTTGGACGGGGAAAAACTGGGACTTCGACAAAAAAAAAGTTCGAACTTTATACCTTGAGTACCTTCTCGAAGCCGTGAGATCTGCTTTCTTTATGCATGAAAAAAACCTGGGATCTGCCCAAAAATTTTCAATGAAAAAAAGAGATATCACACCTCTCCGAGAAAAAGGGGAGCTGCCTTCTTCAGGGGCGTAGCAACAGGGGGGGCCAGGGGGGGCCTGGCCCCCCCACTTTTTTCCCCAACATTACCTTTACTATAGGTAATGTTCATTGAAAGGATGGTTGGCCCCCTCACTTTTTACCATAGTATAGTGATATCAAGGAAATGTAGGAAAATGTATGAAAAAAATTGGAAGTGAAAGTATTTTGGCGTTGAAAAACTTGGCCACTACCCCCCCCCCCCCCCCCCCCCCCCCCACCACGAAATAGGATTTTCGAGTTTGGGGAACTTACAATTCAATTTTTTTTTTTTTTTTTTTTTTGCTTGTCAACTTTTTTCAGGTGAGTAAAAAAAAAAATTTCTCTGGCTGGCCCCCCCACTTTCAAAATCGATGCTACGCGCCTGTTCTTCGGAGAAAAAAATATAGATAAGTTTTCTCTGAATGAAAAAAAACTAACTCAATTGTGATCTGTCTTACCGTGAAAAAAAGTGTGATGTGACTTCTCCATCATATAGACGTCGGAAGCTAATATTGAAAGTGGTGGTGGCGGGGGGGGGGGGGCTAATTGAAAGTTGGGGGGGGGGGGCTAAACCAACAAAAAAGGTAAACCTCAATTTTCAATGCCTATATTATGTCTATCCTTGCAAAAATTGGGGGAGGGGGGGGGGGCTCACCTACGTCCATGCATTAAAAACAAAAGAAAAGAAAAACGTGGGACCTGTCCTCTCTATGAAGAAAAAACATAATATTAGACCTGTCTGGAAAAAATGGGATCTACTTTTTCTGATTAAAAAAAATCAACACGTGATCGCTTCTTCGAAAACCAAATATGTGGGATCTGACTTCTCAATGAAAAAAAATGAAATTTGACTTCTGCTATAGTATCCTAACGTATTGTATTTTCAACCCATTTAGATGTTATTTATTACTTTATTGCAAACTTTAACAAATCTAAAAAAAATAAGGGCCTAAAAGGATAATGTTTGTGTCTGAACATAAATAAAATAATATAACCCAAACTGCAGTTTTGTGTTTACTTTAATTATATGCCATAATATGAGGAGGGTGAATTCAGTTTTCCTTATAAAATATTAGCGTGTTGTATTTTCTACCTAAATAAAGTATGAACACCCATGTACCAAATATATGTAATCTGACTTCTCCATGAAAAAACCCTTATGACATTTTACTTCTGCTAAGTAATACTAGTGGATCTAATTAAAATCTTACAGATGCTTGACAATTTGAAGTAAGTCGCTTGTCAAGAAATTTTTGGGTTTAAGATTTTTTTTTGACGTGAGTGGATCCACCTGGAAAAAATTCCTTGATCCTCGCCTGTCTGATCTACATACTGATTTTTATGCCCCCGTAAACGAAGTTTCGGGGGCATATAGTTTTTGTCGTGTCCGTCTGTCTGTCTGTCTGTCTGTCTGTTTGTCCGCAAAAACTTTAACCTTGCCCATAACTTTTGATTTAGTGGAGCTATGACTTTCATATTTCACACGTGTATTCCTTGTAACAAGACCTTTCTATGGGTACCACCAAATTTGACCTTTTGACCTTGACCTTGGAGTTTGACCCACTTTTACATGAACATTTTAAAATTTTACTTTAGCCATATCTTTTGAACATTATACACAAGGACATTTATACTTCACATATGTAATGTTTGTTAAAAGACCTTTCACTGGATACCATCAACCTTGACTCTTTGACCTTGACCTTGTAGATTTTCTTACTTGTGAAAAAACTTTAACCTTGGCCATAACTTTTGAACGGTAAGGGATAGGGCTTTCATACTTCATACATGTAATCCTTGTGAGAAGACCCTTCATTGGATACCAAGAACTTTGACCCTTTGACCTTGACCTTTGAGATTGACCTACTTTAAAAAAGCAAACTTTGACCATAACTTTTAAAGAGTTAGTGCCAGTGCTTTCATACTTTACATATTTGATTCTTATGAAAAGACCTTTTATTTGATAACAATAACTTTGACCCTTTGACCTTGACCTTGGAGTTTGACCCACTTTTACATGAACATTTTAAAATTTTACTTTGGCCATATCTTCTGAACAGTAGACACCAGGACATTTATACTTCACATATGTAATGTTTGATAAAAGACCCTTCACTCGATACCAACAACTTTGGCCCTTTACCTTGACCTTGTAGATTTCCTTACTTGTGAAAAAACTTTAACCTTGGCCATAACTTTTGAACGGTCAGGGATAGGGCTTTCATACTTTATACATATAATCCTTGTGAGAAGACCCTTCATTGGATACCAAGAACTTTGACCCTTTGACCTTGACCTTTGAGATTGACCTACTTTAAAAAAGCAAACCTTGACCATAACTTTTAAAGAGTTAGGTCCAGTGCTTTCATACTTTACATATTTGATCCTTATGAAAAGACCTTTTATTTGATAACAATAACTTTGACCTTGACCTTGGAGTTTGACCTACTTTTTAAGAAATTGAACGTTGACCATACCTTCTGAACGGTTAGGGCTAGGGCTTTCATGCTGTACAAAAGTATTTTATGTGGCAAGACCTTTCATTTGATACTAATTACATTGACCTTTTGACCTTGGAGATTTTTGTAATTATTAAAAAAAACTTTAACATTAGCTTACTTTCAAATTTCACAATTGTTTTCCAGTGAGAATACCCTACGTTTGGTAGCAATTAATTAAATTTGCATTTAAAAAAAGCTTAATCTTTGCTATGTTGCCATACGGGGGCATCAGTGTTTTACAAACACATCTTGTTTTTCTTTTTTTTTTTTGCTGTGTCACGAAATATATTCAAGTTCAAAAGTCCATTAAAAAGAAAAACAAAATGTGGAGCAGGGCAAACACAGGCCTCTAAAACATCAGAGGTGGGATCAGGTGACATATGGAGGAGTGATCGAGCATCTCCTGCAGACAAGTCACACCCGCCGTGTGCTCCTCGTCACATGCTGTACTGACCAGTCATGAATATCAACAAGGCTGCTGCTATTTTGATTCATCTTATGAGTAAATAGATAAGTAGATTCCAACCTCTGCTGGCTTGGGTGTACTGGATTTACACACTTCACGCAC